TGCCCCATTTGTGTAAAGCTGCACGAGTTATCTCCCTTGGTTTAGTCAGTCTGTTTTCGAAAAAGTATACACATCACCAAGGCGTTGTTAAATGGTATCTATGTACATAATGTACACATGTTTACTGCAGACATCGTAATTCTAGTTACAGTTGACTTCATAGATAACTTATCTAAGTCCGTGATTTATAGAAGTAGCAGAGCGAGGCTTTAGGTGCCTTTTCATATCCAAGGGTTAATATTTTGCCGATATAAATCAGCTTGTAAACTTTTGCTCTTTCCAAAAAATATTCAAAGGTCACAACGATTGTAGACAGTCTCCGTCTAATATATAAATACATTAATAAATAGATAAAATCTGATTCCCTTGTCGGTTCGAGAAACGTTCTAGGTAGACAACACAAACAAGAGGCACATACGTTGACATCAATTACTAGTTCCAGGAACCATTTTTATTAATTATTCTAACTGAAAAACAACATTTAGATTTTTATCCTGGTCGCGTTTAACATGGGTTGCGAACGAAAACTTATTTACATAGTTACTTTATCTGATAAGTAACTAAATAAACCTTTAAGCTCTGAACATTGACAACATAACACAATTCTCTATTATACAGAAATAAAATCTACCATGAATTCCAACCCCTTTTGCTGGGTAGGGTTATTGCCCTTGTATCGCGTCTCCTGCATTCGGAACCCACGTGATGATAAAGGCGTCTCGGAGACGAAGATGATAAGTGGGGTCGGTTGATTTAGGCTCAGGTACTTTGCTTTAAATCCATGCTTGGACCTATTAATATGTTTATCGAATATGAAATATGATGCTACCCCTGATCAGTACTAACCTGTACTTCCGGGTTTGAAGACTTGCTGAAACGTTCGCACAACCGTCTTACTCTCTTAGTTTCGTAGGTAAATTATTTTCAAAGCAACGATTGTGTATCATTGTATGTAATCTGTCTCTACAGAGAGGTAAAGTTTCTGTATGTGTAGGTATAATAATGTATAGGCTGTCACTATAGAGCGGTAAAGTTTCTGTATGTGTAGGTATAACTAGGTATAGGTTGTCACTTTAGAGAGGTAAAGTTTATGGAAGTGTAGGTATAAAGAGGTATAGGCTGTCACTATAGAGAGGTAAAGTTCCTGTATGTGTAGGTTTCATGAGGTAAAGGCTGTCAATGTAGGTATAATTAGGAATAGGCTGTCAATGTAGGTATAATTAGGTATAGGCTGTCAATATAGGTATAATTAGGTATAAGCTGTCACTATAGGGAGGTAAAGTTTATGGAAGTGTAGGTATAATTAGGTATAGGCTGTCAATGTAGGTATAATCAGGTATAGGCTGTCAATTTAGGTATAATTAGGTATAAACTTTCACTATAGGGAGGTAAAGTTTATGGAAGTGTAGGTATAATTACGTAAAGACTGTCACTATAGAGAGGTAAAGTTTCTGTAAGCAGAGGTATGAGATCATCTGCTTGAATTAGAGTCGGCTGTGATTGTACTTAAATATGTTTAACAATATAGTTCTTGATGTTGTTCTTTGGTAGGAATGGGATCATTTTACGATGAAAATTGTAACTTTTTTCCAGTTGTCGAAAGAAAAAAATTGACATGAAGACATGGCTGTTGTGTTCAAGAATGTGAAAATGTTATCACAGTAACTAAGATGTTTGGTATCTGTTTACGATATTGACCCACATAGATTGAACTATAATCCTCTAATACCTATTTAACAAAATAACTACATGATCAAATATTTGACCATTAAGTGTTGTGTAGCAATGTTGCCATCTCACAGATAAATCACAGAGACCTGTGTCTGTAAATTTTAGCTAAGATTAAGGACAGATTTCTAGTGTTTTCAGTCCCCAGCGTTTTTGATGGATTAATTGTTGATCCTGTCAGATTTCGCTCTCAGGCTCAACTGCTTAAAAGACACGGGATATAACTTATGGAACCCCCGACAGTTTATGCATACTCATAAACAAAGTCAGGTTTTTCACCTGCATTGTTCAAATTATTCTAAAAGAGGACACGACTTTAAATTATGAGAAGAACTGAAAGAAATGAACTGCTTTCTGATAACTTTGTGTATTATATAGTGAGATTTTTTAAAAAAAGAATTGATATCTTAATTCCCAAATCTACAGCTTCCAAAACAACTGCAGTGCTAGCGCTATCTGCTATTCATTCACACATGTACCAGCATTTGTCGAATGTTTAAAGTTTGATGGGGATGACAGAAAAATTTTAAGTCCAGGAGGAGAAAGCAGTCTAAACTGATAAGATTTAAGGAATCAATCATGACTATATTATTGTTGATGGACACTGAACACCACCAATGTGACACCTTAATATATTTCCCACAGAAAGTTGTTGTATAAATGAAGTTGATAAATGGCTTCCGAAGTAACGTACAGAATAATTCTATCCCTCAGTCGCTCTTTAAATGTTATCTTACATATCAAATCTGAGTGATCAGTTGATATTTCCTACATGTATTAATACAGAAAAAATACATATATTCCCTCCTGAAAGAAATTCTTTTTTCTTTGAAAAAAGAATAGAGGGTATGAATTTATTTAAATTAGGCCTTTAAAATCAAATACCCTATCAACTAAATAAGTCTCATTTTTGTAAATTGATATGTAGTAAACTGTTATCTGATACAATTTTCAGCCTGAGTTTACCAATGGTATCAACTTTATAGTTGTTTTTTTTTTATTTTTTATAGATTTTGTATCAGGTTAAACAGTGTCTTTTTTCAATTTTTTGTGAAAATGAAAGAATTAAATATTTAAGTAATATTAAAATTGATAAGAGGTGGTTGATTCATTCAGAAACCATAACGGGGGAGGGAGTTTGTCACTTGGCACCTGAACCAATATTCTTATTTATGTGTATATCGACTGATCATAAAATTTTGGGGTGCTAGGTCAAGCTGCAACCAATTATGTTACCACACTGGACAAATGATTTTCCCCTCCATTACAAGAGCCAAATATTGCTGAACTGTCTACATTTTCGACATTTAGGGGAAAGGGAAGTCTTTGAAGTGCATTGCGCATCCTTAATTTAGAATGTAAAAATTATTCCATCATTAACATGGTCAAGTTGCTTTAATTTTCAATCTATTTGACCCTTTCTGTGTTTGACTCGTTGCGATTGTTATGTTCATCGATGTGTGCTGTACACTGTCCGTTGTCTGTAAACTTTCCCTTTAAAGCAATAATCGTTCTACACTCCTGAGTGGATTTCAAGTAAACATAGACTGAATAGGCAATTATTTCTTTAAATGGCGGAGTTCATTAAACCACCAACACCACTGGGGACAGGGGAGACAGGGGCGGGTGGAGAGGGGGGAGGGGTCCCAACATGCAGCTTTTTCTTACGTTAGGAGTATATGGGGACTCAGCAGTCAGACATTGACACTGCAGCAACTCGTAGGGTTCTTGCCAGCAATTTCTCTTGATGCAACATGTCAGTTCACAATTTGACATGAAACAGTACTTGTATTTGAGAAATCAATTTTCTTACCTTTGGGGCTATTTAAATTAGTATGGAAAGCTTTTTTTGTTAAAGTGTTTTTAATACTATATTCTGGAAAACATCTATGCTTTTTTACTACTACAAATGTACCTAACTTCACAGGTAAGAAAACAATTATGGTGAAATCCTGCAATGAAACTTGTGTGCTATCATTTGATTTCCTCAGGTTAACATTCCTTTACTACATGTCATGATTAGGTGTGAAATTGTGTTGAAGGAAAGAAATTTAATTCTGTAAATCAATTAATATGTGTATGAAAGGTATGTGCTCCACAGTAGTCCACTTGATCTTTTGTTCACAAAGTGATTTATTGTACTCAATAAGAAATATGGCTAATTTGACAACAAGAGTTTATTTAGTGAAATTGACATCATTATTAACAATTAAGTAGATATTTAAATTTCATTGTTAGACATGGCACTTGTATAAATACAGATCACGTTAAGTCATCGAGAAACCATTCTGTACTGGAGTTACGTTTTCTGGTTATAATTGATTATATATGGGTTTGTTACTCTTGAGATAACCGCTGTTGATACTGAATAAGTTCTCGGCATGCTAGATGAAATATTTACCTGAATACAGGTGTGGGTACCTTTACAAAGGCCCTAGGAGAAGCAGGACAGGACATGAAGCAGAGATACCTGTGTCTTTCAGCATTTAAATGGCATATGTTGATATGTTGATTTGCTATAGCTCTCACTATTACTGATGATAAGTTTTTCCTCTGACAGAAATATGTCATCACCGATGGTCCCAGGGTGAATGTTAATCTACCGTTGCTATGAACACCACTAAGGTCATGTTTGAGTTTACTTATGTATATCTTCCTTTTGGGTTTCTTTATAGACCAATAGATACCTTTAACGTATGAATGTCAGGCAGCTACATAAATATCGCACTACCGTTATCAAATTCAAAGCATGGCCTGCATGGGTTAGTTTTCTTTCACCAAAATCAATTGGTTTGACAATCAGATGAATCTCGCATTTATTGTCCTCTGGGTTATGTAGTGTGTCATGTGGAGGAGAACCGAAGGTGTAAGGTGTGATATATACTGACACACACACAAATATATACATGGATAGGCAACTCTGTGACCACACCAACAACACAGTCCTTCAAGTGTTTGTCAAAGACTAAGTTTGTCAACATCTCCTCGTGCCAATAGACAGAGGAAAGACCTACCACTTACTGCCAGCCGTAACAAAGTTTACATTTCACCAGTCCACCTAAGGTAGCCAACCAAAGGGCAGAGGGAGTTGTGGTTGCTATAGCTGAGTTTAAGCATTTGAATTTTAATAAAAATGGTGTAATTGAGAGGGACTTGACGACACGGTGATACAAGTCGAAGGACCGAGGACGTGTATCTGTTTCACTGGTGATAGAGTAAGACTGGTGCCTGTGGACTATCTGTCCATCTTAACCGTAGTATTATCATAAGAGATGGCTTGGGTGTGGCCGGATGAACCTCTGCCCGGGGAAGGGAAGCAGAGACGACGGGAAAGGATAAATGCTAACAAGCAGAGGCAGCCACCACCAATCTTAAAAGATAAGGTACGCAAATCTAGTTTTATGTTGGCCTGTGTCAAAAGGTACTCGCCTGATTTCTAACTTGTTTATTTGTCCATGGGCCAATTCCATTTTTTTGTACCTAGCAATACTACCATTGTTTGGTAATGCTTTGTCTGTGAAACGTATTGTCAGGTCTGCAGTATCATTTTCAGTTACACACCAACCTGTGTAGAAATGCCAGATCTGTAAATAGCTTAGAGAACAAAGCCAGTTTTTGAAGATGTATTGGAGAGACATTTATACCTGAAATGAGCCCCATCTATTAACGGTACATCAACAAATTAATCCGTATCAATGACCCACGTTGTGTCCTGATTGGGCGATTGAACAATGAACCTTTGTAAGTTGGTGCCCGCACGGCATGATAGAGGTTTCAATAAAGATCTGAAAACTTTACCATCATGTCACGGAATATTACCTCAACTTGTCGATGTTTATCCTAGTTGCTGTAGAGATGTATGTTTTTAATGGATTGATGTACCAGGTCTGGTCACTATAACGACTACCAATGCCTTTACCTCTGTATCAGATGGATAAAGTTTATCCCAGGCAGGCTGTAAAAGGCTATCCTTTACGGGTGAGTGGTGATAGAATTTATAAGTCCTCACAACATCCTGATTCTCTCATCAAAAAATATAGTGTTATTCAGAGGGGTCTTCTCATGATTGTCTGGACAGGATAAATACTGATGAAGAAGCCTTCTGTCGGATCGAAATATGGTCTTTCAGGCTGAATAGGAACTTAATCACCAGTAACAAAATTGGAAAATTTTGAGTTTTAGTTAGTGGTTTAAATAGTTATTGATATTTATACATCAAGAAGTTTTTCAGTCACAACATACTGAGAGATCAGTATTTCTCTTACCCTGGACAGGTAAATCCACACTTTTTTTACCTGTCCAAGATTTCCTTGTCTCACCCAAGTGTTGTGACAGGGATTTTCCCCCTATCGGGACAATGATATGATGTCACAGTAACAATTCACTGATGCCACGTCCACGATTAAATTGGGTTAAGGATGCAAATCATTGGGACAACAAAAAACACATGAGTACCTAAAAAAGCAAGCAGGATAAGAGAAAAATAAATGCTTACCCCCACCCCCACCCCCACCCCCCTTCCTTGTTGGTGGGATTGAATGCCTTATGTTTGCTAACTTAACCATCTTTCCAGAGAGGTTAAGATCCACCTTTCTCACCAACAGGTGAAGGTGAGATGAATGGGAAGGACACCCAGAACATCAAAGGGAATGTCTTTAATGACAAATATATATTAGGTAATTGAGTCACCAGCCTATGGAAGGTTCCAGTGTTAATTTCAATTTCACCAAATTCTTCACCTGAAATATTCATTATTGATAATTATTGGTGTTTTTAAGGATATATTCAAAATTCTAAATGAGGCCACTTTTCACTTTTACCATGTCCGACAAAATATATCATTAAATAAATTCTCACATTCTTATTTATTTTAAAACAATTCAAAGACGGCTGTTCCATCTTTTTTTCATGACTGAGTGTTTTTCAGTTTCTCCTGGTCAGTTTAAGTCTGCACTCTGGTGACATATTATTACATGCTGAATTTGTTTAGATTCGTGAAAAATATCAAATGGCTAACATAGTCACAAATGAACAGAAAAATCCCATAACATCATTGTTTTAAAAACATATTTAGGTCATACTGGAGAAAAATAAATGGGCTCCAAATATTTTACATGTGTGTCATATCTACCTTTATGAAGCAGTTCAGTAATGTACTGTAAGATGATGCCAGAGTTTTACATTGATAACGTTTACACACAGCCTGACATCTGTGGTGATAGTATATGCTTGAAATAGCATGTCAGCATTCCAGAAATATGATACTACCATGCATAATTTAATACCAAATATTGCCATGTGGATGACATCACACTAAGTTGAATATTTATCCGTTCCAATTCCCACATGAAGTTGAATATTTGATACACTCTTCAGTAGCATCTGCCTGTCAGTGAGGTTGAACAGCCTCTGTAATGTTAAATTAACTGGGATCTGTTTTTCGGATAATCATTTGGTCTACTACATTTACGATGTAGTATTGTATATAATCATTGTGTAATGATGATATGTTAATTGGTAATTGATGCAGGCTTGCCTTCATTAACTATTCATTATACAAGTGATGAAAGTTCTTGGTTCAGATGTTTAGGGCTTCTAGTCATATTCAACAGTTATAGTAAACATAAGGTATTTGTGAAATCTATTTAATAACTACAGATTAATTCTTTTCAAACACCAAAGGTACCTTTGCTGACATGGATTTAAGAATGGGTTGTTTAATATTTATACAAGTTTTTATTAAATGGAACAAGGCTTGACCCAGTAAACTCTGTGCGTTTATGTTAACTTTGTAAAGAAATCATTTCATCATTGAAATTACTGTCAAATCTTAGGAAGATAATTATATGAAATATGTAAACATTTGATATTGGTCAATACACAGGAACTGTTAACTGCTAAAGATTATTATCGTTAAACTAACATTAAATATTTGCCGGAAGATCACACATTTTAAATGTACAATGAAGGTGTTTTATTAATGGGTAATTAATTTTTAACGATTTACACTTTATTAACATAGGTAAATTTTTACGCCCGTTAACTAACACGTTTCCTTGTGGTTGTTAGGACTGGAGACGATAAGAAAAACTTTATGTATCCATTTGTTACCAAGACTTTACTCGGCGACAACAGGTCATTATTTAGTTAAATGTCCCACTGTTATATCTTGGCCTTGTGTTAACCTGTGTCGCCTTGTACAGGACAAATTTGTACAGGAACGCTAGTATTATTTTAGGGACAAATATTTCCCTAGGTAAACATTGGATTACATCGACTGGACTAGGATTCTTTAGCCAGTAGACTGACCAGTCAGTGATTCTACATCCAATTTAATATTTCGTCCTCCTTCTACATCTCAATGAATTATGGTAAATCAAGGTTTTTACAGACAAGATTTTTCAATTTGTTGTGTGTCATTTAGGTGTATGTGTTTACTTGTATAAATCATGCTTGTATTGGGAGGGAGCACAATGCAATGTGTTGTAGCACATGTGTCACTTAAGTGTATTTAATCCTGGCATAGAATATGATTTTGTTGATATTAAGCATTTTGTTGTATAAAACATACAGAATAAACAGTGATTTTCATTGTATTATTTGCTGTCCGTGACATCCTTCTTGTACTACGTGATGCTGTCATTTTTTGAAGACACAGTTTAGAGATGCATATGTCATAAACTTGTATTCGGGTATCAGTGTTAAGTTTTGCCTGTTGTAGTTTGGTGAGAGTTAATGTTGAGGAGTTGTGTGTTAGCTTTACTGGTATTCGGGTATTGATGTAGAGCTGTACCTGTTGAAGGTATTTTGTCGAGAGATGTATTACCTTTACATATACACAGGGATTATATTGTATAACAGAAAACTTTCACATATATTTATTAATTTGTAGAACAACACTTGCTTGTGCTAAGTGATTGTTTAGAATTTCCAGTTCTTCTCTGTATGTGTAGTATTGATTTAATTTTGATATTTTTTGTCAATAAATTTTAACGCTGTATTCAGAAGCAACTGGAGTAGCTAGATGTATGTAAAATCAATACAAGTAAACAAACCTGAGATCTAGAATGGCCCGTCATGGAGAGTTAGGGCAGGATTACATAGAGTTTGTGGGCCGTCATAGAGAGTAAGGGCAGGATTACATAGAGTTTGTGGGCTGTCATAGAGAGCAAGGGCAGGATTACATAGAGTTTGTGGGCTGTCATGGAGAGTTAGGGCAGGATTACATAGAGTTTGTGGGCTGTCATAGAGAGCAAGGGCAGGATTACATAGAGTTTGTGGGCTGTCATGGAGAGTGAGGGCAGGATTACATAGAGTTTGTGGGCTGTCATGGAGAGTAAGGGCAGGATTACATAGAGTTTGTGGGCTGTCATATAGAGTAAGGGCAGGATTACATAGAGTTTGTGGGCTGTCATGGAGAGTTAGGGCAGGATTACATAGAATTTGTGGCCCGTCATGGAGAGTTAGGGCAGGATTACATAGAATTTGTGGCCCGTCATGGAGAGTTAGGGCAGGATTACATAGAGTTTGTGGGCTGTCATAGAGAGTAAGGGCAGGATTACATAGAGTTTGTGGCCAGTCATGTAGAGTTAGGGCAGGATTACATAGAGTTTGTGGGCTGTCATATAGAGTAAGGGCAGGATTACATAGAGTTTGTGGGCTGTCATGGAGAGTTAGGGCAGGATTACATAGAGTTTGTGGCCCGTCATGGAGAGTTAGGGCAGGATTACATAGAGTTTGTGGGCTGTCATAGAGAGTAAGGGCAGGATTACATAGAGTTTGTGGGCAGTCCTGGAGAGTAAGGGCAGGATTACATAAGAGTTTGTGGGCAGTCCTGGAGAGTAAGGGCAGGATTACATAGAGTTTGTGGGCTGTCATATAAAGTAAGGGCAGGATTACATAGAATTTGTGGGCTGTCATAGAGAGCAAGGGCAGGATTACATAGAGTTTGTGGGCTGTCATGGAGAGTTAGGGCAGGATTACATAGAGTTTGTGGGCTGTCATATAGAGTAAGGGCAGGATTACATAGAGTTTGTGGGCTGTCATGGAGAGTTAGGGCAGGATTACATAGAGTTTGTGGGCTGTCATGGAGAGTTAGGGCAGGATTACATAGAGTTTGTGGGCCGTCATGGAGAGTAAGGGCAGGATTACATAGAATTTGTGGGCTGTCATGGAGAGTTAGGGCAGGATTACATAGAGTTTGTGGGCCGTCATAGAGAGTAAGGGCAGGATTATATAGAGTTTGTGGGCCGTCATGGAGAGTAAGGGCAGGATTACATAGAGTTTGTGGGCTGTCATAGAGAGTAAGGGCAGGATTACGTAGAGATTCTGGATCCTTAGATCTCGAATGGGCCGCCATGTAGAGAAGGGCTGGATTACATAGAGATCCTGAGATCCAAAGTGGACCATCGTGGAGAACTGGGGCAGGATTATGTAGAGTATACAGCAGTTTCTGTATACTGAAATCTGGGATGGCTTGTCAGAGAGATACATGTAGGAAAATTTTTTATAGAGCCGTCACCATTTTCTGGATCCTGAGATCTAGAATTTGGCATGGAGGGCAAGGGAAAGATTACAAAGAGCCAACACCGGTTTCTCGATCCATAATTTACATAATTGAGATTAATTCTTCAATCTACTTTAATTACTCAGTCCATCAAATCTCACAAAAAAAGTTTACGGCCCTATTATCCTACCGTACATACACCATTTATCACCCTTTTATGTTCTGTAGTTCCACAACCAATTGTACCCAATATCTTGATAAGAGTTTGTCTTACAAAATAGGCACTGAGACTCCTTGGTGCTTAACACTTGGTACCTGGTACATATAAGCACTATAGCCACATGTCCTTGATACATGTAAATTGTCAAGATGTATAATACACAAAACATTTACATAAGAGATATGAAAATAAACAACCAACTTAAACGATATTAACAGATTTACACTGCTTTTGAATGCATAAGTATCTGGGTTTTATTTCACAAAAAATATAACACATTTCCTTAGTTTATTTAAAATGAATATTTGAATACTTTTGTGAAGAGGGGTGTTAAAGTCATAGAGACATGTAATAAATGTGTGTTTATACACCATCAATTTCTGATGCATTTAAGCACTGACTGATCTAACCCATTCTTGAATGGATCAGGAATATTGTGTACATGTGATACTGAGTAGCTTTTGGCTCTACTGCATGACATTTTTTCTGGTATAGTGGGAGTAAAAAGAAATATTCTTTTCTTTTTAATATTTTTTCAATCCTTTTAATTTTAAGGATTTTTCCAATGATATTTAAAAATATGGCTTCTAAAGTTGAATGTATACATATATATATATATATATATGTATATATAAAGTATATATAAGCATTTTTTCACAAAAACTTTTCTTCCACAACGAGGGAATTTTTTCAACAATATTTGACAAAGTTTGAGGTGCTACAGCTTTATTGGGCTAATGTATTGTAATACATAGTCAACTCACAGCTAAACATTCTGAATTGACAAGCATTTATTGTTGTGTTTAATTGAGTATAGTTAACTATGTAATTAAGATGTACATATCTATAGACTACAGCTGTCTGACCTGCTATTGTCTTCATAGCTCTGTAAACAGACCGACACACATGAACACGTACAGGCCAAATATTTATTAGCTCTTAAAGAACAAATGGCACAGAGATATGTTGAATTGGGCTATACTAATTCTTTGTTACCATATTCAGGACTTTAGTTTAAATTCTTATTGAGTCCAGGTTCAAGAGAGCTCAAGGATAGATCTGTATTTGTTAATGTGCCTATCAACCACATCAAAAACATGCCATTAAAATGTGGTCATTTATAGAAATTATACCTGCAAATAAGTCACACTTGAAAGTACTTTGAAACAATTTTGTGAAAATTGTTAAATCATCAACAACAATAGTGTTCATGTACTGATTTGATATAGATGTGTGTTTATAGTCAGATAAATGTTACTACTAGGTACATCATCAATACCTGATAAAGTACCAGTAGACGTGATATAGGAGTGTGTGTGTTTATAGTCAGATAAATGTTACTACTAGGTACATCATCAATACCTGATCAAGTAGACGTGATATAGGTGTGTGTGTTTATAGTCAGATAAATGTTACTACTAGGTACATCATCAATACCTGATAAAGTAGACGTGATATAGGTGTGCATGTTTATAGTCAGATAAATGTTACTACTAGGTACATCATCAATACCTGATCAAGTAGACATGATACAGGTGTGTGTGTTTATAGTCAGATAAATGTTACTACTAGGTACATCATCAATACCTGATCAAGTAGACGTAATATAGGAGTGTGTGTGTTTATAGTCAGATAAATGTTACTACTAGGTACATCATCAATACCTGATAAAGTAGACGTGATACAGAGGTGTGAGTTTATAGTCAGATAAATGTTACTACTAGGTACATCATCAATACCTGATCAAGTAGAGTGATATAGGTGTGTGTGTTTATAGTCAGATAAATGTTACTACCGTGTACATCATCAATAACTGATCAAGTAGACGTGATATAGGTGTGTGTGTTTATAGTCAGATAAATGTTACTACCGTGTACATCATCAATAACTGATCAAGTAGACGTGATATAGGTGTGTGTGTTTATAGTCAGATAAATGTTACTACCGTGTACATCATCAATACCTGATCAAGTAGACGTGATACAGGTGTGTGTGTTTATAGTCAGATAAATGTTACTACCGTGTACATCATCAATAACTGATCAAGTAGACGTGATATAGGTGTGTGTGTTTATAGTCAGATAAATGTTACTACATTATGAACAATGTATGAAGCAGACTTGATATAGGTATGTGAGTTTAGTCAATATGGTAGCAGACATGTTCCTTGTTCCTAATAATTGACTTGTAGTCAGTCTCCAAATAGATATTCCTAATCTGACAGTTACATTATCTCTCATTCCCAGTAAATTACATCGCCCGGTTTGTCCCTAATGTCACTCCGATTTATTTTGTAATGCCTCTATGCTGTACAATGTAACTTCAAATCATCATTCCTGGATTTATTTTAATTTCTTGTTTTATTAGATGCAAAACATTTGTTTACAAAATCTACTTTCAGATAGAGTGAGTTTTTCAAGATTTGAAGTGTGAGACTTGACAGTTAGGGTCATTTATTGATTTTTAGCAAAGACAACTCCTTGTTAAAGCTGGTTCCAAGAACATTCTTGTAGTTGTGGGAAGCCTTTGGGAAATAAAGAACTTTGTTTATCCAAGTCACTTACATCAGGTAAAAAATGGTAAAATGGACTAACCTGAATTCATTTTTAAAAAAAAATAATAAAGTTTTGTTTCAAGTGATGGAGCGATATTTATTTAGTAACTAGCTTTTCTGGTAACTAGTGGAACTTTCCTGTTCAATCACATTTCAGAGTTTTGAAAAAAAAAAAAATTTTTACGTTAAAAGTTGTTGTGATATTAGTGACTTGAACTTCCCTGTGAAAAATGTTTACCACATTCCTTATTGATTATGGTTTTGAATATCTTGCCTTCCTCATGAGTTACTACCTTAAAACTCCACTGCATGGTTCTTGTCAACCAGGAATTGTTCCAAAGGAAAGATTAAGCTTGCAGCAAGACCCAGTCACATTACATCTAAAGAATGCCCCATTTATAAATCTCGATGTTTACCCAGGTTTATTTCGTTTACATTGAACCCTTTTATACTTTCCATATCTGCTATGTAAACACTTCACTGATTTCTATCACCAGTAGCCATGTTTAATCACATTTCATTTGAAAACAAATTAAACACAGATGATTAGACCATTGTAGGAAACTTAGTTACTGGTATATTGTGTTTTTGTCTATAAGAGAATGTCATCGCTGAGAACTCTTTGTGATAGTTGACCTATTGTTCCTGAATGTTGTACACCTCTACAGAACAATTCCTTTATGCATTTGAAAAAAGCTCGATCATGTAAACTTGGTTAAATATCACACACTCGGTTACGAATCGTAACTGTACAAGATCTGTTTTCATTACATGAAGAGCACTGTAACATAAACATATAGGTCCATCCTTCTGTCATTTGTCTTTGTTTCTAGCCTTCACAAGGTCCATCCTTCTGTCATTTGTCTTTGTTTCTAGCCTTCACAAGGTCCATCCTTCTGTCATTTGTCTTTGTTTCTAGCCTTCACAAGGTCCATCCTTCTGTCATTTGTCTTTGTTTCTAGCCTTCACAAGGTCCATCCTTCTGTCATTTGTCTTTGTTTCTAGCCTTCACAAGGTCCATCCTTCTGTCATTTGTCTTTCACAAGAGACTTACTGTTGTAGATATATTAATTTCTGTGGAAAAGAAAAGAAAAACGTTTGATATTCTGTTTCTGGGAGTGGATTCAAATTGTTAGTGTATTTTCAGCTTATAAATAGTGTAATATAACCTGATTTCTAACATTGATTTGATTGGTTTACTTGTGTGACATGTTTGTAGGTCATGTTTCAGTGCAGACAACCATGAAAACTTCTAAAGAACCACGCTGAGAAATTTTAGAGTTATAAATTATATTTTTATCATCATGTTTTATTTTTTCTAGAGTGAACAAGGTGGGATTGACTTTCGTACCTATGAGAATCTGACCAGTCTCACAGCACCGTTCGGTACCTCAAACACACCAGTGATTGGAACCAAAATAATTGGCGGTCAACAGGTTTCTGTTATAGAGCACCTTTCTCCCAATCAGTAAGTTCTATATAATTATCTCTATATGACTGTCATGTCTATTTCACTGTTACAAAAAAGTATTTTCCATTCTTACAACATACACTCCATTAATTGTATGTTACACTCCAGTGATTGTATGTTACACTCCAGTGATTGTATGTTACACTCCAGTGATATTGTGTTGCAGTCAAATGGTTGTGTGCTACACTCCAGTGATTGATTGTTACACTCCAATAGCTGTGTGTTACACTCCAGTGATTGTGTGTTACACTCCAATAGATGTGTGTTACACTCCAGTGATTGTGTGTTACACTCCAATAGCTGTGTGTTACACTCCAGTGATTTTGTATTACACTTCAGTGATAGTGTGTTCCACTCAAGTGAATGTGTGTCACACTCCAGTGGTTGTGGGTTACACTCCAGTGATTGAGTGTTACACTTCAATGATAGTGTGTTATACTTCAGTGATAGTGTGTTATACTTCAATGATAGTGTGTTATACTCCAGTGATTGTGTGTTACACTTAAGTGGTTGTGTGTTAACTCCAGTGATTGTGTGTTACACTCCAGTAATTGTGTTTACACTCCAGTGGTTGTGTGTTACACTCCAGTGATTGTGTTTTGCAGGTACAATGGCAATGGTGGAATTAGCATTTCCAAGCTCAATGACATAGCGGACAAGCCAAACAATGTTAACCCTGATGTTCTACGACGGGGTGCTCGCGGCTACTTCAGTGCTCAGCAGGTGAGTATGGTCACAGGGGCCAGGTACCCTGATATCCAACTTTCCAACAGGAAAACAATGTGATTGGATACAGTTCTCACCAGTAGAGAGTTAAACACCTGTTTCAATTAAGAACCATGAATATTTTCTTATCTGCATGATGTTTTGCAGAATTTCATATCTTTTTCTCTAATCCTCATGAGATTGTTTTGAGAGAGTGCTTTCTTCAAATTTTGACATTGTTTTGATGAGAGTGCTGTCCTCATGACATTGTTTTGATGAGAGTGCTGTCCCTGACATTGTTTTGAGTGCTGCTTCCATGACATTGTTTTGATGAGAGTGCTTATACATTGTTTTGATGAGAGTGCTGTCCCTCATGTACATTGTTTTGATGAAGTGCTGTCCTGAATGATGACATTGTTTTAATTAGTGCTATGACATTGTTTTGATGAGATGCTGTCCTTATGACATTGTTTTGATGAGAGTGAATGACATTGTTTTGATGAGAGTGCTGTCCTCATGACATTGTTTTGATGAGAGTGCTGTCCTAATGACATTGTTTTGATGAGAGTGCTGTCCTAATGACATTGTTTTGATGAGAGTGCTGTCCTCATGACATTGTTTTGATGAGAGTGCTGTCCTTGTGACATTGTTTTGATGAGAGTGCTGTCCTCATGACATTGTTTTGATGAGAGTGCTGTCCTCATGACATTGTTTTGATGAGAGTGCTGTCCTCATGACATTGTTTTGATGAGAGTGCTGTCCTTGTGACATTGTTTTGAGGAGAGTGCTGCTTCCATGACATTGTTTTGAGGAGAGTGCTGCTTCCATGACATTGTTTTGATGAGAGTGCTGTCCTTGTGACATTGTTTTGAGGAGAGTGCTGTCCTCATGACATTGTTTTGATGAGAGTGCTGTCCTCATGACATTGTTTTGATGAGAGTGCTGTCCTTGTGACATTGTTTTGATGAGAGTGCTGTCCTTGTGACATTGTTTTGATGAGAGTGCTGTCCTTGTGACATTGTTTTGATGAGAGTGCTGTCCTTGTGACATTGTTTTAAGGAGAATTATGACCTCATGACATTGTTTTGAGGAGAGTGCTGTCCTTGTGACATTGTTTTGATGAGAGTGCTGTCCTTCCATGACATTGTTTTGATGAGAGTGCTGTCCTTGTGACATTGTTTTGATGAGAGTGCTGTCCTCATGACATTGTTTTGATGAGAGTGCTGTCCTTGTGACATTGTTTTGATGAGAGTGCTGTCCTCATGACATTGTTTTGATGAGAGTGCTGTCCTTGTGACATTGTTTTGATGAGAGTGCTGTCCTCATGACATTGTTTTGATGAGAGTGCTGTCCTTGTGACATTGTTTTGAGGAGAGTGCTGTCCTCATGACATTGTTTTGATGAGAGTGCTGTCCTCATGACATTGTTTTGAGGAGAGTGCTGCTTCCATGACATTGTTTTGATGAGAGTGCTGTCCTCATGACATTGTTTTGATGAGAGTGCTGTCCTTGTGACATTGTTTTGATGAGAGTGCTGTCCTCATGACATTGTTTTGAGGAGAGTGCTGTCCTTGTGACATTGTTTTAAGGAGAATTATGACCTCATGACATTGTTTTGAGGAGAGTGCTGTCCTCATGACATTATGTTATGGAGAATTATGCCTTTATGACATTATTTTACACAGAATCATGCCCTCATGATATGGCTTAGGAAGAATGTGCCTTAAATAATATCACATAATCTGGTGTTAAAAGTCTGTTTAGATTTAAAGTCAGTAATTGAAATTAAATTCGAAGATTTAGATAAATTAAAACAAGGAAATATAAATTAAATTAAATCAGATAATAACTTAAAAATTTAAATAAAGCTATGTTATTGTGATCAAGGATCCGGACAGTTGCTAAAAAGATAACAATATAGGAGGTCAGATCTTTTACTTTTGATGTGTTTTTAGGATTTTTGATGTTCACTATGGTATCATGAACATTTAATTCGGGAAGTTTACAGGAGTTTGAGGATTATTGTTGACAATCTAAACAAACTGAGAACACTAGATATATTTCATTGTTAACACTTTGTTTATTATCCACAGCCTAAGGATGACTTTGACCAGGTAGGCTGTTGGCTGATTGGCCAGAGAGAGATGTGACATCACATGACCCCACATGTAGACCCCCATCTAAACAACCCTTTCACTGTATATATGTATTTATAACCAATAATAACTTTATTGGATTCAATTTTTCTTAAGTCAATTAAATCAAGTTAGCTAAATTTTGAATGTCTGTATAAAATATCCTCTATTGTGGAATTTGGTAGATCATCTTAAATTTAGTTAATTTTTGGAGGAAAAAGTTTTTTTCTAATCCAATGCAGAATTTCAAGCATTGGACAATTTTATAATGCATGTTTACACAGTGAAGGGGTTTTTGGTTTTTACTCTTGTTGTCTGTCTGTCTGTCTGTCTGTCTGTGTCTGTATACTTCCTTAATCAAACCAGTCCTACATATTTATACATTCACAAATCCTCATCAGCTACATGTACATGCATTGTCATTCAAATCAAATTTTTTTTGTGTCATTTTAATATTTATTCTGTGCTTTTATTTTCTGCTGAAAATTTGGAATTTGCCAGACTGTAAGTGAATGAATTTAATTGATGCAGAATTCATGTAGAATTTTTGGAAAATGTGTGATCACAGGGAATAAAGCTGATGGAAAGCCAGCCCTACAAAACACACTTAGACTGTGTAAATGCATTGCTGTTGCTTGTGTGGAAATGTCCAGTCCTTTTCATAGATGTTCCATTTGATTGCTTGTGCTTAACTTTCATGTTTCTCATAAATTTTGCCGAGTTATTGCTAAGTCATCGAAGTCTTTCTATTTCAGAGAGAGACAGATCATTCCCCCTCTCATTTGTAATTCATGAAACCAACAGAATGTCCCTTTTATTTTTTTTCTTCATATGAATTCAATTCAGTTACATTGAACAGCTTAATCTTTGGTGTTATGGACCATTGTTATATGAAATAAGGATCACTCATAGGGGTTAGAAAGATAAGCAACTCCTTATTATAATATTTAATTAATATGATTAAATAATTACTAAGTGTTGGATTTGTTTAATTAATACACTACAAAACTTTCTCCAGGTAGTTTAAGAGTATTTTAACTTGTTTTAACATAACTAACATTTAACATATTTTCACAAGATATTTTAAAGAATTTTCCAAATTTGATTAATAACATGACGAAGTTTTACCAGTCATTATTATATCTCTCTGTCTGAATTCTCTAAACATTTCAATTCTGAAAACTAACATTTTGTACCTAAAAATTAAAACATTCTATACCCAGGTGTACCTGGTTACAATTTTTTCTCTCTATATTTCTAATGTTTTTCTCATGGATTAATGTTCGGAGACATGATATAAAAATAAAGACATTCTGTGTTTCATCAATGTTAATTTTGTCTGATTTTAAAAGGAGCCATATTTTCATTTCTTCTTTAATCAAAAGTAAGACTTTCATTTGAAAGTTTTTTTTTTCATCTTAAGTGAAAATTCATTACAATAAATCTTTTTAACAGTTAGCGGGGGTTTGTTCATTGTCATCATGTTTTGGAGAGTTTACACAGATATTACAAGATTAATATGCTAATGACATTTAAACTTAAATTTACGTGCAGGAAGAAAATAATTTTTTAAAAATATTTAACAACTTTGAATTTGAGATAATGCCCTTAGGATGGTGTCAGTTTTCAAGTACAACACTATACATGTTGTGGTCGTTCTAGAATCACAAAGATATCATTTAGACTGCTTAAGTAAATATGTTCACGGTAAAAGTCAACAAACAGACATTGATTTGACTTTCTTACCTTACCATAAGGAGCCTGTAGCCAATAATCACTTTTGGGTAAGTAAATCTGTTGAATTCGCAGCACTGCTACACGACAGAAACTGCACGTCGCACAGTTTACGTAGAGTTGGTTTCCATTTTAGCTTGGCACATTAAAGTTTGTGTTCTTTTTTGGTTTTGTAAATGTTATTAATATTCTGGAACATTTCCATATTTGTATCAAAGAGGAAAAAATAAATTCTGCAAAATTTTTTTCAAGGTATTGGATTTTAAATATCATCTTACCTTGACGAAACTGCACATTCTACACTGCAATATTAAAGATATCTACTGCAACAGTGTCACTTTTATCACTGACCAATTCACTGACCAATCAGAAATTTTATATCTGTAGTAATGTCACAGTAGGTCAGAGAGGACATCACTTTTATCACTGACCAATCAGAATGATGTTTATATCTAGAAATGTCACAGTAGGTTGGAGAGGATATCACTTTTATCACTGACCAATTAGAATGATGTTTATATCTGTAGGACATCACTTTTATCACTGACCAATCATAATGATGTTTATATTTACATAACATCACTTTTATCACTGACCAATCAGAATGATGTTTATATTTGTATAACATCACTTTTATCACTGACCAATCAGAATGATGTTTATATTTGTATAACATCACTTCTATCACTGACCAATCAGAATGATGTTTATATTTGTATAACATCACTTTTATCACTGACCAATCAGAATGATGTTTATATTTGTATAACATCACTTTTGTCACTGACCAATCAGAATGATGTTTATATTTAGAAATGTCACATATTGGAGAGGATATCACTTTTATCACTGACCAATCATAATGATGTTTATATTTGCATAACATCACTTTTATCACTGACCAATCAGAATGATGTTTATATTTGTATAACATCACTTCTATCACTGACCAATCAGAATGATGTTTATATTTGTATAACATCACTTTTATCACTGACCAATCAGAATGATGTTTATATTCGTATAACATCACTTTTATCACTGACCAATCAGAATGATGTTTATATCTAGAAATGTCACAGTAGGTTGGAGAGGATATCACTTTTATCACTGACCAATCATAATGATGTTTATATTTGCATAACATCACTTTTATCACTGACCAATCAGAATGATGTTTATATTTGTATAACATCACTTCTATCACTGACCAATCAGAATGATGTTTATGTCAGTAGAAATATCACAGAAGGTCAGGGAAGACATCATTTTTATCACTGACTTATTAAAATGTTGTCTTTTTACTGCACAAAAACTTTGTTTTGATGCAATGATCGGTAGTCGATTGTCTTTTATAAAGTCATAAGCAAATAACTATAGATTTTAATTAATCTCTGTACTTTGCATCTTTCATTCATATCTTATATGAACCTAATTGCAAATTAATGATATTTTGTAGATATCATAAGTTTTGCTGAAGTATAACAATATTTATTTTTCATTTGTTATATTTTGAAAAAAGAAATTATTTGTGCCAGCTACCTGCATATCAATGACCTCTCAATCTCAGGAATAGCAATTTTATACCTCTCAATCTCAGGTATAGCAATTTTATACCTCTCAATCTCAGGTATAGCAATTTTATACCTCTCAATCTCAGGTATAGCAATTTTATACCTCTCAATCTCAGGTATAGCAATTTTATACCTCTCAATCTCAGGTAGTTTTTTTATCAGTCAATTTTATGCCTCTCAAATCTCAGGTATGCACTGATTTTATGTAAAGATCATCAATGCAATTTTACATCTCTCAATCTCAAATTTAGAATTTGTATAACAAATTTTTACCTCTAAATAAAGGTAAATAGTATTTTAAATTTCATAAAGATTTATAAATCAAATAGTACACCACATTTGAATTAGTTGTAAGACATAAGGCTGGGCATCACAAGTGTTATCTAGTTTCCATGGGAACAAAAAAATTTTTTTTTGCCTAAATATTAATGTGTGATAAAATTCTATAACTAAATGTTTTAAATAATTTAGCAATTTTATACCTTACAAACATAGAATACTCAGGTATAACAACATTTGTGTAAATAACAGCCAACCCACAGAAACACTTTTTATGCATGATTTCTGTTTTAATTCTATCACCTTTCATCACTTTTACTTAAATTAACAAACAAATTGTAGATAAGGATCCGGGAAGTTTTGATTTATGCAGAGGTCAATATTCAGCTGTTTATAAAGGGGAAAGATATTGCCACATCTAGATCCAAGGCTTAATGTAAACTGACTTATACCCATTCAGTAACTGTAAAATTAGTGGATAAAGTGAAATGTCAGACATTTAAAGAATGATGGAGACAATACCTCTTATCAATGTAACTATAATTGTGATTTTTGATATTATTTTTCATTATTTACAAAATAAACTGATGCTGTTTTATATAAAGATCCTATTGAATGTTCCATCAGGAAATCTTCTGTACCACTTGTGCTATGTATTTGGCATTTTTCTTGTTTTCGAATGGTTAAAATACCAATTTTGACTTCACTAGGCTGAGTTTAGAACACTTTCAACTCGATATCTTATAATTATCTTGATTTATTATATTTTGTAGGATAACTTTCAGTCAAACCTTCATGGAAAGCCAACTTATGTAGGCAGAAGTCGTCCGGATTCCAAATCTTTGGCACGAGGATTGAAGCTGGACCCCCTTACAACTAATAAAAACAAGAACCAGCTGTCCACCATATTTGAACCAGAGATAGGAAACCCAAATGCTTTACAATTGGAAACAGAATATGGCGACAAATATATGAAGGATACAGAATACGAACGGCCGATAAGCGATCAACACCAAATGAGACCTAATGGACGTACATATGATTCTACCAAGTTCCCTAAAGCTCTAAGTGATATAGGTCCACATCCTATCTCTAACGACTACCAAAGCCATCCTCCTGCCAAAGACGTGTCTGCAAACTCATACTCACATAATGATTACATTGAACAGACGCCAAGAACTGTTCTTAACGAGGAGCGCAATAGACTGTTAAAGTATTTATGGAGCGCAAATCTCGGCACTCTCCCACAGAGACCAATTGAGCTCACGCAAGTGGAGGAAGAGAAGTTAGGACACATTGTCAGTGTGGAATTGGATGGAATTCCACGGAAACGATTGGATAAGGTTCATGCCGATGCCATCACTTCGGACTGGGCACAAAACGGCACATGTGCACTAGTGGCTATGAAAAAAGCTCTTGAATCGAATCAGGTAAGCTTAGTTGTGATATTGAAAAAAAGAAGCTGCCAATCGCTATTGCTTACAGTACAAAGGTTGGGAAATGATCGTAGAATAAGTATACTAATCCTGTTGCTTTACAATTGATTTCATGTGTATTTAAAACAGTTTAATTTTACGATTTATTTTATTTCCAGATACGTTTAGATCCTGATACAGTGCGACTGGTAGCGGCTAAATTTGTTGACCGAAATCAGAATGGATGGATATTTTATCGGGATTTTATTAGATATCTTAAGAAATTTTTGCCTAAAGAGCCGTAAGTTTTTTTTAATTATCATTGCAGGTACCAAAATTTTAATTTTGACTTTCATGATTTTTAATTTCTTCAATATTAACAGAGTTAAACCATAATTTAAGACGAAGATTAAAATGATGTGATTTGGATGTTGTTCATCAGTTTAAGTGAACTTCTGACTGTTACCGTCTTTCATAATTTTTTACAGACAAAGTAGCTTCGAACAGCAGTTGCAGAGTCGAACAAACTCACCGTAAGTACTTCTTGTTTTGAAGTCTTGTAAACTGTAATATAATTACAAAGTAGACTAGTTTTAGAACAGCTGTAAAAAAATTTTATCAGAGTTACTGTATACTCTGGCCAATCTGGTGTGGTGTCACCTAAGATTTAGATCAAGGACTTCAGACACCTAATTAGCATGACACAAAATTTTTTTCACAAATTCTTCAATTCTCCTTTTTTTTTTTAATCAGTGATGACTTTAACAATTGGTAATTTGGAATTCTACAATAAAATGTGTTTAAACAATATTCCTGATAAAAAAACCTGAGATATTTTGATATTTTACCAATTTGATGAATGCTTAATTACCAAGGTAGTAGATTTTTTCCTTTCAATTTATGTATCATGATCTTGTGACCTTTGGACTTGAATTTTGAAATAATTTCTTACAACTGATATTCGGAGACTTTCAATTGATTATCTGAGGTTTGAAATATGACATCATTTTCTTCACATTGAACAGGATGGATGACCTCAACCCACAGATACATCGAACATTTGGAAAAACATTACAGATTGCCAAGCAACAACTAGCTGATGAAAAAATACGAATAAACATGTCTGCGATTAGGAAGGATTTTGAATCACGGGATAAGCCTTATAGAGGACGTTTGTCAGAGCATGAGGTATTGATTGATATTGGTGACAGTGTCGAAATATTGTCCAAAACTAAACAGAAAGCAGCATAAGAACAGACTATTATGGTGGTACAAGACAGGCGCAGGTTTTTCCATAATTTTGTTAGTAGTAGGCTGTGTAGTGAAAGTAGGAGGCTGGTGAAGCTAGCCGACCCAAGCCGCAACGCGGCGAGATGGGGGTGGCCTGCCGTGTACGTGTAGTCGTGTACGGAACATTATTACGGAACTGGATTGGTGTAGACGGCCAAATGATCATAGTAGCCGGTCAAATTGGCCGGTGACCAGCTCTTATGGAAAACCCTGCAGACGTTATTGTTTCGTAATAAATTGAATTGATACATTTGGCAACTGTTTTTCCAATCAGAATGTGAAAGTTATGTCAACCACACCATACAAAACCAGCTTAGCGATAACTTTATGAGGATACTATATACATACTACATAGTGAGTTTGGTACTAGGTTTGAAAGAGCTGCCTGAATAATTACATACTTTCTCTTTACCAGATCCTTGATGTGTTGCGCAATAACAAAGTAAATCTGCCGAGTGACGTCTTCAAAGATCTCCTCTACATGAAAAGGCGGAGGCCTCATGATGGACAGTTCGAGTGAGTAGTATGTGCACAGTAGCAGCATGGAATGATACATGCATAAGTCTACAAACAGTTTTCATGTGTAAAATCTTTCTCAATGTAAAAAAAAAACTGAAAAAAGATTTTAATATAAATTTGAAACCTGGTTTTCATAGTTTTATTACCCTTGTGTGAACCAAGCAAGTTTGAGTTATTTCTGGAAAGTATTTCAGGGTTATAAGGGCAAGGTCTAGTAATTCAATTGTGATGTAAGTTAACAGTTGCCATGGAAATCCAGAAAAGTATAAACTCATAGATAGCTTCCATTGAAACCCTTTGCAAAATACTGCCTTGGAGAATAGTGTGAACTCTCACATTTCTTATATCAAAATTTGTTCCTTTTAGATGGTGGGGAATTTTGGCGCATTGATACATTGTTCTCCTTAAAGGAGATATTGTTCTCAATGTTGTTTATTTCTTTGACAGCTGGGAGGCTTTTCTTGGTGTGTTGGAGATGATCCAGCCCGACGCCACCGGCCTAGATATCCCACGCAGCAAGCGTCCGTTAGAGTATGCTAAGCCCACACTGGAAACATTTGAGTCCTGGCCTAGAAGCTCTCCTCGCAGAGACTACCCATCCTACAATGGGTATCGACAGCAATCAGATCGCCCACCTGAAGATAACTGGCAGCACAATGGTTACCAACCCTCTTTCAGCAACAGAGACACATATAATCAGGGATACAACGGCAACATGTCTTACAGACGGGAGCCGTCCCCAAGCCGTGCTCAACAGATGTCCTATAGAAGTGAAGATGTAAGAATACTCCTTATTCACCATGTATTGCGCCACAGCTATTCTTTCTCCAGCACTCTCTATTTTTTTCCATCAATTCCTTTCCTCCTGGTGCCTTAGTCATGACTTAGAAGCCTTCCAAGACTGTGGTCTTCAGCATCAATTAACATACATCCTCCACCTCATTTAGTTAAAATTAAGCTCTGTGTTGTACACACTTGTCAGATTGTTTCGCTATGTGACATTATCCTTTGGCACATGAACATTACCAGACACCCATGCATGAAGTGATTTGAATTCTATCAGAAATGTTTCATGTAGTCAATGGTAACCATATATTTATATATAGAAGTAGGTCCAATGAAGGATGAAAAGTTTTGATATTTTGCTACCTGAACAAAAGTGTCTTGAATGTATTGGGGGTGAGGTCTTATAGTTATATACTGGTTGTACTTAGAGACTTAAACAAAGGGAGTTACATACTGGAGGTACTCAGGGACTTAAACTAAGGGAGTTACATACTGGTGATACTCGGGGACTTAAACTAAGGGATTTACATACTGGAGGTACTCAGGGACTTAAACTAAGGGAGTTACATACTGGTGATACTCGGGGACTTAAACTAAGGGATTTACATACTGGTGGTACTCAGGGACTTAAACTAAGGGAGTTACATACTGGTGGTTCTCAGGGACTTAAACTAAGGGAGTTACATACATGTGGTACTCAGGGACTTAAACTAAGGGAGTTACATACTGGTGGTACTCAGGGACTTAAACTAAGGGAGTTACATACTGGTGGTACTCAGGGACTTAAACTAAGGGAGTTACATACTGGAGGTACTCAGGGACTTAAACTAAGGGATTTACATACTGGTGGTACTCAGGGACTTAAACTAAGGGAGTTAAATACTGGTGGTACTCAGGGACTTAAACTAAGGGAGTTACTCAGGGACTTAAACTAAGGGAGTTACATACACGTGGTACTCAGGGACTTAAACTAAGGGAGTTACATACACGTGGTACTCAGGGACTTAAACTAAGGGAGTTACATACACGTGGTACTCAGGGACTTAAACTAAGGGAGTTACATACTGGAGGTACTCAGGGACTTAAACTAAGGGATTTACATACTGGTGGTACTCAGGGACTTAAACTAAGGGAGTTACATACTGGTGGTTCTCAGGGACTTAAACTAAGGGAGTTACATACATGTGGTACTCAGGGACTTAAACTAAGGGAGTTACATACTGGTGGTATTCAGGGACTTAAACTAAGGGAGTTACATACTGGTGGTACTCAGGGACTTAAACTAAGGGAGTTACATACTGGAGGTACTCAGGGACTTAAACTAAGGGATTTACATACTGGTGGTACTCAGGGACTTAAACTAAGGGAGTTACATACACGTGGTACTCAGGGACTTAAACTAAGGGAGTTACATACACGTGGTACTCAGGGACTTATACTAAGGGAGTTACATACTGGAGGTACTCAGGGACTTAAACTAAGGGAGTTACATACTGGAGGTACTCTGTGACATAAACTTAGGGGGTACTTTAGGACTAAAACAATCTAAAGTCTTGTTCAGACTGGTATATATTATATTTTTTAACAGATCATCTGATTTTAATATTTTTTTTAATATATTGAATGGCACAAAATTATATTCATTTTTGTTTTCTTTCTTAAGGAAAAAAAAGGAAAGGTTGGCAAAAGAAATATCTCTTAATAGTTTCCACTTACTCCTTTTATCACTTTAATTTGCATGATCTACAATTATCACTAAACCTACATAATTATGTAACACTGTACAGGACAAAAACCTGTAGAAAACATTACACTAGGTACCGTAACCCTCGGCATGATACTGATCTGTTTCACAGACTAATTAAGTCTTTTTATGCCATCACAATTTTAAAGGGATGGGGAATATATGTAGTGCTAACCATGTCCATCCCATCACATCCCATTCTCAATTCACGTCATAGCTCCAATAACTTCATATATGAATGCAAAGGTCATGTATGAAAATCCCCCAATTTTACATATGTCAAGGTTGAAGATTAAGGTCAAGGATACTATAAAAATAGATTTGAAAAATCCCCATTCAATTAAGTGATATATATCTCAAGGCCAGATTTCATTTATTAAAGAATTTTTACAAAGGTCAATTTTGACAATACCTCAAATGAGTTTGTGTCGGGGTCAAGGTCACTATTTCTTATTATAGAAAATCAACAACCCATTCAGTGACATCTTTCATGTAACTTTATTTCTGAAGGTATTTCAACTGAAATACCTGAAATAAGTTTGTGTCAAAGTCACATTCATTATTTGTTCTGTGGATTTATTTCTGAAGTAGTGGAACAGTAAAAAAGTTAAATATGTAATATATCTCTTTTAAAAAGGCTGCATGATTTAGAATTTCACTTTAGTTATCTGTCTCCTGCACATCATTGATCCCTTAATTTAAACAATGAGTTACTCTCAAAAACATGATGTAGTGAACAGTTGTAGAAATAATCTGTAGGGCTTATAATTACCCACCTGATGTATGATGTACTTAAAATCAAAATGTAGTCAAATTAATCTGCTTAGACATATAAATAGAATTTGATTTTTTTATGTCATAATAGATTTGTTTCTGAAATTAGGTTAGTTGGATTTGAGTTTCAAAAAGAAGATAATTTAATTCTCATAAATTCATAATTACATACATCAAATGTTTTCTGGGGCTAGGGAACATTATCAGAGGGAGAAATCTTGAAAGCATATTGGTGAATTAAACGTCAGACCTTGAGTCTTTTAGGCAGATTTATAAATGGTTTTAATATATAGTAGAGCGTAGTGTATTTATTAGTGTTGCTAAGCAACAGGGTGTCATGTGATGAGTAACATTGGGTTCCTTGTCTGATACCACAGGTCAGCTCTAGATACCCACCAATAACCAAATATCCCCCACCAGAGTCACCCCGACAGTTGCAGGATGAGATTTACAAGATGGAAAATGAAATTAAGGCATTGCAAGAACGAAATGAGGTAATGCTCTCAGTGAAAAGGTGTTTATAGTGACCAAACAATTGTGGTTTTGTGGCATTGTTTGCTCTTTCATGTTACTAATTGAAGGAATTCAAGGTGTTCTTTTTATTAAGAGTCATTAACATGAATTCAGATTAAAAAAAAATGTTGTTGATGTTGACACTTACTGACATCTGCTTCTCATCTACTGCCAGAGTGATTGCTAAAGATTTCAAAAATCAAGATTATGTTATGGGTTGTTTTATCAGGCCCTGCAGCAAAATTTCCTGTGCTCCTCCCCATCGATTTTTTTTTTCTCTGTCTGCATATCCAGCAATTTTTGTTTCTGGAATCAATTTCCAGAAGGTGACCATTTTTGGTATTTCTGATGGTGATGTAGAGTGATATGTAGATACAGTCCTTTTTTTACCAGTATTTCAATCTTATTGAGGTGGTCAGGTGGCCATTGGTAATACATTTGCCTTTCACCTAAACATACAGGATTGAATTTCCCGAGCAGACATGAAATGGTATACCCTTGTAAAATAAATAAATTTTATCATAAGCCCTTTATGTAAATTTAGGGTCACAGTCCAACTTTTTGTATGTTATGTATCTGCATACTGGAAAAAAATTATTGTCCTGTATTATGAAGCAGGGCTGGTTGATAAATCAAGAGGTCTGCCACTGACCATTGGTCAAGGTCATCAGGTCAATGGTCAAGGTAGCTGAAGTCATCTTAGATTTCTACACCAAATCGAGGTTGTGAATAAACCGCGACAATTTTGACGGATATCAGTCAGGATCTATGTGACTTGTTTTCTAGTTCTGATTTCTATCTGTTGGTAATTTTAATACATTCTGGAATATACATACTTGAAGCTTTGATTTGTGTAAAGGGAGAGTGCATGGACAATGTAATTCAAATTGTTACCTCCCCTGAAGAGATTTTCTGTGATGTTGTCCTAACTCATTCTGATTACCTCTTAACCTGTGTTTTGTGTGGTGTGTTTATTGAATTGATCATTGATTGGATTTCTTGTTATTTTATTTCCTAATTATTAATTTAAGGAGCTTGTAAGTATATCTATGGTATAGTGTAACTTTCTATATCTTAAATGTGTGAATCCTATCACACATTTGAAATCTTTAAAAAAAAAAAACATCTTCTGGATTAGGTGTCTACCTTTTTTCCTCTTCTCTGTGATATCACTTACAGTAAAATATTTGTAAAATATTCATGAATAGATTGATATCTACTAGAATGAATACACTAGTGATCTGAAAATTATCTGGTGGTGTTGGTATAAAAGTATTAAAGTGATATGGAGTACAACAAATCAACAGGGCATTCTGCGACACCTTGGATGTAGAATTGATAATACACGGTATAAAAGATAAAATTGCAGGAAGTTAATGATTTATCATTCATTGAAGCATATTTTACTGAATAACACTCAGATAGATATACCATAGATGTTCTATCTACATACACCAGCGTTTATCTGACAATAACACTCAGATAGATATACCATAGATGTTCTATCTACATACACCAGCGTTTATCTGACAATAACACTCAGATAGATATACCATAGATGTTCTATCTACATACACTGCTGTTTGTCTGACAACAACACTCAGATAGATATACCATAGATGTTCTATATACATACACCAGCGTTTATCTGACAATAACACTCAGATAGATATACCACAGATGTTCTATATACATACACTGCTGTTTGTCTGACAACAACACTCAGATAGATATACCATAGATGTTCTATATACATACCCTGCTGTTTGTCTGACAACAACACTCAGATAGATATACCATAGATGTTCTATATACATACACCAGCGTTTATCTGACAATAACACTCAGATAGATATACCATAGATGTTCTATCTACATACACTGCTGTTTGTCTGACAACAACACTCAGATAGATATACCATAGATGTTGTATGTACATACACCAGCGTTTATCTGACAATAACACTCAGATAGATATACCATAGATGTTCTATCTACATACACCAGCGTTTATCTGACAATAACACTCAGATAGATATACCATAGATGTTCTATCTACATACACCAGCGTTTATCTGACAACAACACTCAGATAGATATACCATAGATGTTCTGTCTGCATACACCAGCGTTACTCTGACAACAACACTCAGATAGATATACCATAGATGTTCTATCTACATACACTGTCGTTTGTCTGACAACAACACTCAGATAGATATACCACAGATGTTCTATCTACATACACTGTCGTTTGTCTGACAACAACACTCAGATAGATATACCACAGATGTTCTATCTACATACACTGCTGTTTGTCTGACAACAACACTCAGATAGATATACCACAGATGTTCTGTCTACATACCCTCGCACTACTCTGACAACAACACTCAGATAGATATACCATAGATGTTCTATCTACATACACTGTCGTTTGTCTGACAACAACACTCAGATAGATATACCATAGATGTTCTATCTACATACACTGTTGTTTGTCTGACAACAACACTCAGATAGATATACCATAGATGTTCTATCTACATACACTGTTGTTTGTCTGACAACAACACTCAGATAGATATACCATAGATGTTCTATCTACATACACTGTTGTTTTTCTGACAACAACACTCAGATAGATATACCATAGATGTTCTATCTACATACACTGTTGTTTGTCTGACAACAACACTCAGATAGATATACCATAGATGTTGTATGTACATAGGGGAGCTATCAATGTGTGATCAGAATTTCAGTATTTAAAAGAGAAAGATTTGATGATAAATTGTGCATTATTCTGAAGATACCTTAATGCACTGTCTTGTCAGGAAAAGCTGTTTAACACCATCGTTAAATCTACCCATCCTTTGTTTATTCTTCCTTGTAGTTTGTTCTATTCAGAAAAAAAAAAACGATTTATTCACTTTGTCTAAATTTCTCAGATTTCCTCAGATGTCCTCAGATTTCTTTATACACTAATAACAAAATAATTAATCAAGTATATTTTTTCAACCTTACACAATCAGCGTTAATTTACAGGTAACCAGATGTCTTTTAACATGTACACAATTCCATAAAAGATTACGGATATACTTTAGTGATAGAATCATTTTAAGATAATATTACTTGTATGATATACATTGATGATGAAAATTCAATAATAAACACTGTAAAAGGCAATATGTTTTCTTTCTTAGAGAGCATCGTGTGTCTGCAAGAGTCTATCAAACACTTTCTACTTACCGTACATATTCGCGTATAATGCGCACTCGCGTATAGTGCGCAGGTACTTTTTGGAGATCAGATTTAAAAAAAAAAAAAAATCTACAGAAAAATTAATTGACTGGTCACTGCGACGAAACATTTGATGTGGTCTGATCCATTGATAATTAGGAAACCACAATGAGCATGACCCTAACACATGTAATTACCTTAAGTAAACAAATTTATTTTGGGGAAAAAAGAAGATAAATATATTGTAGCACGGTTGATTCTTTTCTACAGTTTTCTAACATGAAAACTTGTACAGACATATGTGGTAAATGATAATATTGATTTCTTAGAATGCGTGATATTGAACAGAAAAAAAAAATGACTTACAGATTAGATGTATATATAAAATGTAATTATATGACTGCCATCATCAACACAAAAACCATACAGAAACTTGTAATTAGAAAAATACTGTATTGTTTTTTTTTTTTTTTTTGGTATATATATTGAGATTCTGGTTGTAGGATTTTCTCAGGTCATTCAGAAGCTCTACGCTCTACTCCTTCATCTACAGAAGATGCTGATCTTCTGTTCACTTACAGTATTACAGCAGAATTTTGACATGAAGTCTGTGAAACCTTACATACAATTATTGCATATCTTAAAAACTTCGAAAACTTTGAAAAATTTGAAACAATATGTGGAAATTTCAAATTATATAGAATTTTCAATACGATGACACTTTTGTTTTGGTCCAATTTACAGGAGTTGATGCGTCAAAAACAGGAGGAAAGACAGGAGCTTTTCTCCACAATTACGAGTCTAGGAAAAACTCTGTACGGGATTGATGAGTTGAGGTATCGGTCATCAGGTAAGCTTACAGACATCATCGGGCTGAATAAATGATTATAGACATGTAGTATAATTCAGGTGTGTGTGTGTGAGAGGTTTTGCTGTACAAACTATGGCCACTCTTCATTATAGACAGGTGTTTGAGGGTTTTCTGTTCAGATAATTGGAACTGTCCACTATAGACAGGTTACATAGACTGTATTGTTTTTTTTTTTTTTTTGGTATATATATTGAGATTCTGGTTGTAGGATTTTAGGTCATTCAGAACATGTGTGTGAGGTTTTACTGAGGGACTATGGGCACTGTTCATTGTAGACAGGTATATGAGAGATTTTATTGTAGGGACTAACGAAACTTTTCATTATAGACAGGTATGTAAGAGATTTTACTGTAGGGACTAAGGGCACTTTTCATTATAGACAGGTATGTAAGAGATTTAATTGTAGGGACTAAGGGCACTGTTCATTGTAGACAGGTATATGAAAGATTTTATTGTAGGGACTAACGAAACTTTTCATTATAGACAGGTATGTAAGAGATTTTACTGTAGGGACTAAGGGCACTTTTCATTATAGACAGGTATGTAAGAGATTTTACTGTAGGGACTAAGGACACTTTTCATTATAGACAGGTATGTAAGAGATTTAATTGTAGGGACTAAGGGCACTGTTCATTGTAGACAGGTATATGAAAGATTTTATTGTAGGGACTAACGAAACTGTTCATTATAGACAGGTATGTGAGAGATTTAATTGTAGGGACTAATTGCACTTTTCAGTATAGACAGGTATGTAAGAGATTTTACTGTAGGGATTATGAGCCCTGTCCAAAAATGAAGAAAATGATTTAAGCACTTAGAGTTATGTAGCCCTGGTAAGTTTACTAGTCAGAAAATACCGCTTGACTAGAGAAAACTTCTCTTTAGCTCAATCGATTGAGCATGAGACTAGTAAGCCAGGAGTCTCAGGTTTGAATCCTGGAGGAGGTGATGAAATATATTATCTCTGTTACATTGGTGCCCATGTAGGGACTCCTGCCTTACTAGTCCCTGGACTCTGTGACCTCTGCTACAGTTACAAATAGGAAATGTCCATGAAAGTCTGCAGTTGTATAAAGTAAAATATTTTGGGATGTGTTAGGCCGCGTTTACATAATTTTTTGTTTATGTGTTTTAGGACGAGTTTACATCGACGAAGTGTTGGAAGAATCGGTCAAACACAGATTACCACTTCCCAGGAAATACTTGCAGGATGCGGCTGATAAATGCATGAATGCTAAAAGAATGGTAGACATTCAGAAATACCTCGACCTGGTCAAGGCGCTTGCCATCAACTGATCAGGCGTTACCTTGGACATTAGTCACCATGGCAACAAACACTCATTATCGAAGATCTGTGATATACCTAAACCTCCGTCCACCTTAGACTCAGCCGAGTCCCACCTCATACTGTACTTAAAGTACATCTAGTTAATTTATTTGAAATATATGTAGCTAATTATAACAATATCATTCTGCAGTTAAAGTTTCATGATAAAGGGAACTTTTCAGACTTACTTACAAGAGAGTTGTATTTACCACAATGTATCTGAGGGCATCACCCCTTCCTGAGGACATTTCCGTATGGTATATGATACATGCTAATGTAACCACCTTTGTTTGCCTTATCATAGCATTATCATCCTAATCCTGGCTTATGACTGGGTACCCTGCACACAAGGATACAGATGATATTTATATAAAAGTTTACATGAACCATTATTTGCCATTGCCCCTGTAGAAACTCTGGTCTACTGGTCTGAGTTAATCTACCGTATAAATTCTCCGTAGTTGAGTGGGCAGAAAGTAGAAGGAATTGTCTTCAATATTTTCCAATGGTATCAACAGAGCTTGTGGAAATTTGTATTTTTCTTTTTTTTTTTTTTTGTTTGTTTTTTTTTTCCTGACCCCTTGTTTAGCAACCATATAAAACAAATGTTTATATACAAAAAGGGAGGTTGTCTCAACTTATTGTCGCCATCATAAACTTGAATGCATTTTCTGCAGTGCTGTTTCCTTCCGTTGTCCTACACAAGGTTTTACTTTTGACCTCTCTCTGGAAATCAAGCTGACTGAGGGCATCACATCATGGTTCCCCATTCAACTCTTAGACTCACCTACAAAGTTTTATCACATTTTACAAGTTACCATGTTTTTATTTCGCAAGTCATGGTAATTCATCTCCAAAGCCTTTGATTTGTATTTTGTCCTAATCCTTTGTGCCATCTTAACAGTCACAATTGGTCTGACTCCATAGCTGTGATTCAACAACAAAATGATTCACTAAAATGACACAATATTGTATCATAAATGTACATCAACATGAATCAAAATATGAAAAGTGCTATTGTGTTGATGATCCTACAATAGAGATACACTATGATATCTGAGATGTCTATATTAATTACTTTTCTAATTAAATGTACGTTTTGTCTAAAGATTGTTATATGTATAAATCTAATGATGTATTTTTTCCTAACCTTACAAAAGATTTTAATGTTCTTCTATATATTATATATATATACATTTAAATATAAACACACTTGTTTAAATGTCTAATTAACTAGCTCTGTTATCAGTGTTTATGAGGTGAAATATTATTGAAGTCTGACTGTCCACTAAATCAGGAGATTTTTCTGACATTCAGTTACCAAAATATGAAAGACTATAGAATTTAACCTCTTGGGACCATTCAAACATGCAGTCTTGTTTAGTAAAGGCAATTTGTAAAATTATAAAGATATTGTAGTGAGTACAGAGTGTTAGAGGCACTGTACAGTCACTAAGCTCATGACTAAAGCCGTAAGTTTATTCATTTAGTGATCTAGACTGCAAGGTTTGGTGCAAAATGCCATGTCACATCTCTTGAGAGTTCTATCTAGGGGAGATAATCCCCAGTTTTTGCTATGATATCAACTTGTCAGGGAAAGGAAGCCTGAATGCCTCAGTTTAGTCATATCTACTGAATAATTGTACCTACAGATATTATGTAGCTTCATCCTACTGCATTTATACATCATTCAAATCCTTGACCTTTGAAATGATAAAAAAATCAATATGATGGAATTCAAAAGTCACAAAATTTTTACACATATCTTACAAAAATTCACTTTAACACTAAAGATTTGGATAAGAATATGACAAGTATTCTTTTTCTATTCATTGGATATGCCATTAATTAAATTCTTTATGATATAAGCTAACACAAGGCTGTGATCGTCATTATCACGAGTTATTGATAAGTTGTAGGCTATAACAGGGACTTGACAAGCACTAGGTTTTGACTAGACTGTTATGGGCAGAAGGTTGTCATCAACCTCTGGTATATACATGTAGTAGGTTATCACCAGGCTTCCTTTCATTTCGTGGGTTTCACATTTTTCAGGTATCCATGAAAAATATTTCGCAACATTATAAATATTTGACATCGTTTCGAAATATATCCTTTACAATTGTAATTATTGTTGAAATTATTCAACATCATAATTACAAAGTAGCAAGATAACCAGGTCTTTGTGGATGTCATGAAAAAAATATTGGAATCATTATGACATAATTATGCTAATCTTGATTACTAAAATAGGAAGATGTTGCTCACTCCAATATGTTTTAGCTATCTTGTTTAATTGTAACAAATATCTTTGAAATTAGTAACTCATTTTATTCATATTAAAACCTTAAAACTTGGGTGTCATGATGAAAGCATATCAAAGAAAATTCTTGTGATCAATATTTATTTGTACATAATATGATCATCTGTGACATTGTGTTCTGGTAGAAATCATTTTGTATAAACTTGTAGATCTCATCAATCATATGGCCATTTATTCAGTAGGTAAATCATGGATCATTCTAGATTCTTATAATCAAAACAAACAAGGGTAACTGTAGTGAGCAATTATCTCCCTTGTTTTGATAGTTGTAATGGATTTTTTCTGTACTAGATCAGTTATTTCCCCTTATTTTTTTGTAGCACCACTTTATTTAAGTGGGTAAAATATTTTCTGATAAGGTATCCAACATATGATATCATGATTTCAATGCAAAAATTAGCTTACATTCTGGGTGTTAATTGCCGTGCTGAATCAGTTATCTCCCTTGATCAGACTAAAGTATGTACTGGAATAAATTAGTGTGCTGAATCAGTTATCTCCCTTGATCAGATTAAATTATGTATCAGAGGAAATTGATGTGCTGAATCTGATACATTCATGCTGTAAATATTTGACGAAGTTTTGGACCTTTTTTTTGTATGGTGCATACAACAAATTACATGTGGATACAAGTAATTATTTCAAAGCCATCAGTTAATTTTCACAACATCATTTAACATTCTAGAAATTTTATTTCTCCAAGTATTAGATACAAATTTGTTTGCATTGTCCCAACTGGCATGCTGACAATATTCAGAGTTATATCCCTTTGTTGTTTGGGATTTCCTGCTCACAGAAAATGACTTTGTAATCTCATTCAGATAAATTGTCCATAAAATTTGATAGTAAAATTATTATCAAAGACAGGAAGCTACTGTTTATTAATTCTGTGTTATTGTTTAGTCACCCCAAGTCAATGTTTACTCTTTATGTGCTAGTGATTATGTTGGTCTCCCTTTTATTTTGTGATACTCATTATGAAAGACTCCACGTGTTTAGTCTGTTACTATGTTAATACATTAATTACTAGCTACTTTACAACTACTGGATGTTTTAGTTTATATTTGTGTATAACATCATCTAGAAAAGTCTGTGATATTTACATCGAACTATTTACCAATTAATAAAGATTTAGATTTGTCATCTGTGTGTGTTTGTTATATTAGTATATGGTTGGTAATGTTCTACAAATTCTGATTTGATAAAAAAAATACAACTAAACATGTGGATGAAATTATTGAATCAACAAAATACAAATGTAAGAACGGGAGAAGGAAAGGGAGAACAAAGAGATTAAGACCAGGTGTTCCAAAGGGGAGAGCATTGTTTACTTCATCAACAACTTATCTCAGCACAGATTTGGATCTGGAGTTATAAAGTCGTCATTTCTTATACAGTAAAACTAACAGATTGTTTGACATTAATTGAAATTAAAAGAATGGCAGTAAAGGGTTGAATGAGAATTCTGAAGCATGGCACACAGAAATATGGTTAGAAGTGTTATATATCTCTGTTCAGCCTCAGTGGGGATATAATAAAAACTTTAAACAAACACAACTAATCTGGCACTTTATTTGAAAAGATCCAATGCTTGTAAATCAATTAAAAAAAAACATCAACAAAATGTAATTTTGAAGTTTTTGTACAAACATCATCTTTCAAAGAGTTCCGAGTTTGAAATAACACATGGGGAAAAAAACAGCAAGGAGTATTTAAAGGGGGATAACTCTTACAAACTACAGCTCATAAAATATGCCAAGTAGCAAATGTACAAAATATATGTTCTTAGTATGAAACATTTAGCCGAATCTTGAATGCTGCTCATGTTCAACCTTGCATATATAGCTTGTATATATGTACTCAACAACATGTACAATACATCCTTACTATGTACGTGTAAAGTTCAAATTCAAATTATCAAAATAGCACTTATATACATGGTCTGGAGGGGAAAAGTTGACGGAACATATATGTAAAGAACCAGGCATTCACAAACTGGATTTCTATGCCTTTATCTGGAACTGGAAAGACAATGTTCACTTAATTGTTACACATATGAAAGTGGTGACTATGTCCAAAAAAACCTAAATACATATATATGAGAAAATGAAAAAATATAAGTAGGGGTACTGTCATGTTAAATGTTTAAATATTCATTTATACTGTTTCCTGTTAATATTTTAATGATAAGCTGTACTTAAATGAAATCCTGCGTTAATCAGGCTAACAAAATTTTTTGTTGAAACATCATCTATGTAAAAAAGAATTTTAGTTTTGAACCAATATTTTGATATTTACTGTATAAATTAGATGCAGAATCTACTCCATGGAAACATCAAGATACAACTGTCAACGCAATGAGTTACATAGGAACGAGAAAAGCGAGTAGAAAAATGGAAATTTCTTCCATCCTAATTCACATCGTAAAATTCAAATTCCAATCAATATCAAATTTGGATAAATATTTCATACATTTTAAATCTCATTTGTATGTTTTTTATAGATGATGTTGAGCCTCTCTGTATCGAGATCTCCTCGTATGGAGTATTGAGACCAGATTGTCAGTACTACCATACAGTGTTTTCATCATTACCATCTTGAAATGTTCCCCTCCAGACCATGAACATGACCGTAAATAAATTTCTCAATTTTAAAAATTCAATTTCAGAAAGAGTGTAGGTATAAATCTAAGGGGTATTAGAACTTATAATTACATTATATAGATATATAACTGGCCTGTTTTATCATGCCGTCAATATTATACGACACTTATGTCTTAACACTATTGTGATGTCCTCAATAAGTCACTCCATGACAAAGTCTTAAGATTGTCTTTGCAATGAAAAAAAAAATTCAACAAACATTCTATAAAGACGTAAAAAAAAACTATTTAAACTGGCTACAAAACAAGGCATACATCAATACAGGCATTTCACTGGCATCATCAGTCAAAAACCAAAACACCACAGTTCAACTCCAGTGCAATTTACATATCATTTCAATTCTATGTCTCGTTATTATAACTGATAACTGACAAATAACAATAAGAAGAAAACTTGAACTGAATGTCCTACAACTAATATAACATGACACTGTTAGACATATAATTGTATATAATTGTACTGTATAAGTATTCATATATATAACATTTTTACTTGTATACAAAACTAACTAGCAACTTTATTTTTTTCAGTGTAATTCTACAACATCAGAGATGTATATATCTCCATCAAAATTCATTATTAAATACCAACAAACGTAGGTATCTCCTTAACAAAAAACCTAAACATCTTCATAATAAGAACTGGTTTGAACGAAGAAGTTCTGATATCAAACCAATTTTACTTAATGCCCCAATACATCAATCATTTGGCAAATTTACAAAATTCAGAAAATTTCTGAGAAAATTTCCACATTATTATACAAAGATAACATTAAAACATACATAAGTTGAGGGAAATCTTGGTGGTGGGATATAAAAAAGCCAAGATTAATAAAAAAGACTTCCACTTAAAATGCAAACCAATATCATACAAAGTTCAGAAGGTCGTTGTGAAAAAAAACAAATTTAGGTAACCAATCTGCCTGGTCAAATGACCAGGTGTAGTAGGCATGTTAACAGGTAAAGTGAGATGTCACACGTGCTGCAAGCTCATATCAAAGGTAGAATGCAGGTGTATAGTCATTCAAGGGCTCACTGTGTCATCTAAATAGAGTGTATATTTGTTTATATAGTAAATATTAATCTCTCATGGAAAGGTCAAAAATATTTTACAACATTGCTTCTGCAAAGATGGTAAATGGAGGCATGTTTACAACAAGTAATTTTTCAGTTTTGATATGAAAACAATCGTACCATATCGTCTTCAATATTTCTCAGTTAAGTTAATTTTCACAATATTGCTGTAAATAGAATGTATTTTCTCTTCACTATTTTAGTGAAAGTTTTGTATATTGGGGCTTAGTAAGGCATTTTTAGTGTAAACAATGGACAATATATGAAACTTAACTTCTGATTAATAGCCCTTATAAAAAATATCATCAAAATGATCTCTCCAATGTGGTCCCATCCAATGATACAATAGACATTAAATATAAAATTCTGACTAGCTGTCTTATGTAACTGGGGTAATGGATAAACTATTGGCTATAGGACACTTTTCAGTGTAAGGGAAATAACTCTTGCATACTTTTGTAATCTACCTGTCAGTACGTATACAAATATTTACCAAAACTTTGTCCTCATTCTGTTACTTTTGTCTCTGTTTAATAATGCGAGGACATGGACCCCCTCCCAAGTTAGTCTCTATTCTCAGGAAATGGACACTCTCCCTATAAAAGTTACAAAAGCTTGTAGGAGTGGAGATCCTCCCTAGCTTGTTATTTGAGAACATGGACACCCTCCATAGTGAGCAAATTACTGTGAGGTCATGGGCACCCCCCTAGTTAGTCTGTGAAGGTGTAGATACAGTCCTGAGTTAGCCTGTTACTGTGAGTATACTGTAGTGTATGCTCGTGAACATCTTCCCTAGTTCATGTATCACTGACTGAAGTAAACGGGCATGGAAACCTTCCCTAGTTCATGTATCACTGAGAGAAGTATGTAGGTGTTAACAATGTGAATGAGGACATTGTCCTTAGTTAGTCTCCAGAAGAACTCCAGGCATGGTGTTGTAGCCAGTGTTAAGAGGAATCCCTCGTTTTGGTATGTAGGGTTCTGTACGATTCACCATGGTGATACAATCAATGATTGGACACACAGACAGACACAGTGTACACCCTGTAGATAAAAAACAACCAAATCCGTAAATGTATATACAAACAATGCATATAAGTAAGACCTTTTCCCTTCCTCACTGTTTACAGTTTTTAATTATATATTAAATGTAATGACAAGGTGAATGAAACTAATAGTAACACTGTTCAACAAATTAAACTGAAATAAAAAAATTATTTACACAAATCATCTCGTTATATGCAAATACAATTCACAACCTTTAAGTATCTAAAACAAGATGGCCACCAAGCTGCCATCTTTTCATTTCAATGCAGCCACAAAACTAAACATACATCACTATAATTAATGATTAACTTATCATTTTGTTTAGATTATTAGTCAATAACATAAAAGAGAAAGTTAATCCTTATAATTTCTTCTTTTTTTAGTTCTTTTTCATTAAAATAATCTCATTTTTATATGTTTGTTTCAAACTGAAAATCTGACAAATGAAAAGTTCCATCATGTTCAAATATGAATTAAAAAAATAAGATCTTTATACTCCAAGAATTGCAAAAACAAACCATGATTGTCAAAATCCAAGATGGCGGTCATTCAAAATTTAACATGTAATATAAGAGACCAAGAGAAATATGGGAAAGATCCAATCGTTTTTCTTAAGAAATAAACAAAGTGAAAGTCTCTTTCATTAATTAAAACATGGGCTAAAAGATCAAATGCTGTTACCTACTTCAGATCAAAATTAGACTGCTGTGACCTACTCCAGGTTAAAGTTAGACTGCTATGACCTACTTCAGGTTAAAATTAGACTGCTGTGACCTACTTCAGGTTGAAAATTAGACTGCTTTGACCTACTCAAGGTTAAAGTTAGACTGCTGTGACCTACTTCAGATCTAAATCAGACTGCTATGACCTACTTCAGGTTAAAAATTAGACTGCTGTGATCTACTCCTGGTAAAAAAAGACACTGCTGTGACCTACTCCAAATTAGAAATACACTGCTGTGACCTATTCCAGGTTAAAATTAGACTGCTGTGACCTACTTCATGTTACCACAATGTTTGTCACAATGCCCTAATAACATTGTCCTACAAGGGAACATTGAAGATTCCATGTAAAATAGTATGTCAGGTAGTATGACATTTAGATTTAAATATTTAAAATTATAAGATTAGATACATACCTGTACAGTCCTGAGTGACATGTGGCAGGTGAGTAAGGGGGTCAAACTTGATAGCCTGGTAACCAGAGTCATTACAAGTCATGTAACACTTGCCACAGTTGATACACATATCCTGTATAAACAGAAAAAACAAATAACAGTATTCTCAAAAAAAAAAAAAAAAAGTGGTCAATATAATTGATATCATCTGATATCAATGACAAAGAGGTTGTGGGAGTGTGTTCACACAGAAAACAAATATCGGAGGACAGACCTGTATCTGTTAAGTCCAGCTTTTGGTGCAAATGCTCTATCCAGTATGTTATCTTACTATAACCTAACTTCTTGACCTCAACTTGACATTATGACTTACCTAATCGTTATGGTCTCCACCTGACCATTGTTGTTTCTGATTTGACCCCTGACCCCTAACTTACCTCATCAATAAGGGCCACCACCTGTTCCTTATTGTTCAAGTCTCCGTATGATCCAATCATTTCCAGGCCTTTACCAATGACCTCCTTTAACAGAATATGTTATACACATATAGATTAAGGTATAATGATACAGTACAAACATTATAATAGTTCATATATTACCTTATACAGGAAGATCATAACCATATCCCCTATTGGAACATCTAGTGTATGCAGTAAACACATATTTTAAATATATATCAAATATTTTAATATTAAATATTTATATTTAATTTTGGGGTGAGAACATAAATTTTCATGTTATGTTCATGGCTATCAAAAAAGGCCCGAAGTTTTTCTATTATGGACAGTCTACAGCAAATAACATTATTGATAGGACCGCAACAAACTCTAACAGTTCAAACAGTACTGAGAACAGTACTGATGTTATACAGGACATCGCTAATGGCTTATCATTGATATACTGACCTGTACACTTGGAACAGGTTTCTTTGGTACGTTAGCCGGACGGAGGGGATCAGGCTGGAATTCCTCACCAAGAATATCAACCTCTTTGAAATGTTTGGCCAATATGTCAGCCCTCTTCTGGGCATATGGACCGAAAGATGGGAGTTTCTGAAACCAGCAGAGTACATTAAAAAAGTTTTTATCACAACAGTGCCTGACAAGACAAATTTCATAAAGTAAGGATTACAATCACTGTCCTCCAGTCAACTTATATAATAAGACTTAACAAAGCTTTATATCAACATTTAACTTGTGTAATTTGACTTCAAAAAATTAATCAAAATACAATTAGCAAGGACTCAAATAACCCTGACTCTCAGATCTGTTAAGGTGTTATTGAAATATCTTGAACACAAGCTGTTATTTCTTAAGTGGTTTAGAGTGATTTTAACCTTTAACCTATACAAAGGTCTCCAAAATTTAACTGGGTGTACAACTTGATGGTGTGAATTATATTACACAAGTTTTTTAAAATTTAAAAAGGCACAAGATTGTCCTTTGACCTTGAATGGTGACCTCTAAAATCTTATAAGTAGAATATAATGATGTGATTCTAGGGTGTGAATATAAACTAACTCTGTCCTGAGGTTCATGAGATGTCTTGTAGTTTTGCACAGACAGATGCCTGGACAGACACACAAAGTGATTATAAACTCAGTAGGGGGGATATAAAATGGATTTAATCTTGGTTTTTTGTTGTATATTTTGACTCAACATAAAAAAGCATATCCTTCATCAACTATACCTGGCCAACAAGATCTGCCAGTTTAACCACAGGTTTGCCGTTCTGGTGGCGTGCAGTAGGGGGACTCTGACCTTCCCAGTTAGAAAGGTCCTCCAGACTGTTCAGGTAGAGCAGGGCTTTCAAACCCAGCACATAATCCTCAATAAGGGTAAAGTCCTGGTTCTGTACTGCACTACACACCTAAACAAATTATATACAACAAATGTTTCTAACGTAAAAATGCACAACACCTTGTCATTAGAAATGTACAATATATCTTTCTAACATAACAAACACAAGGCCTCTTCCTGAGAAAATACATAACATTAACTTCATAGTCTCCACTATTTTTATTTTAACGAAGAATACAACATTATATTAAATGCCTTTTGACATAAATATTGTATATGTTATTCCTTCTTGTGATCTTTTCACTTGGAATATCTACTTTATAATGATATGTACAAGGATCCCGATGATTTGTAAATAATGAATTGGTACCACAGAGAAGGAGACTTTAACCTACCTGTAATACTGACGCTCCTGCCTGTAGAAACTGGAGACCAGCTTCAGCAGAATCAATCCCTCCGGTAGCCAGAATGGGGAACCCTGGGATAGCATTGGCTATGGCCGACACAGCTCGTAGGGCAATAGGACGAATAGCATTACCAGACACCCCACCATATGTGGTACGTTTGCTCTTGCCAATGTTCGGCCATGCAGCTCCACTGGCCTTGAGTCCCATCAGTCCTGACACTGTATTTGTTGCTGTCACCCCATCCGCCTTGCCTAGTGTCATAGAGTATATACATTTTGTATATATAGATTGTTTTTAAATGTAGTAGTGTACATCACACATATCACATACAGTCAAACCTGATGGAAATTTCAGCTTCTAGAATTGTTTGAAAGTCCTGAGAGTTGTCTTACCTTCATATGCAGCTTTAGCTATGTGGACAATATTGGTGACATTTGGTGTCAACTTGGCAAAGAAAGGGATCTTGATGGCATCTCGTACCCAGCGACAGATGTTTCTAACCATCTCAGGATCCTATCAGAAAACAACAACATCATCATCAGTAAACTATACTACACCAGGACGACATTCCCATCCTCTTTATATACTGATTTTTTTCACAAATATCCCAATAGTGGTGCATATGCTATCAGTTAATGATAAAACCTTTAGAAATTTGACCAACATATAGTTACTCCTACACCCCACCAATATACAGTGTAAAGAGACTCTCTCATAAAACAATATATAGTCACCCTACACCCCACCAATATACAGTGTAAAGTGACTCATAAAACAATATATAGTCACCCTACACCCCACCAATATACAGTGTAAAGTGACTCTCTCATAAAACAATATATAGTCACCCTACACCCCACCAATATACAGTGTAAAGTGACTCTCTCACAAAACAATAAACAGTTACCCTTACACCCCACCAATATACAGTGTAAAGTGACCCTCTCACCCAACAATATATAGTGACCCCCCTATACCCCACTAATACACAGTTTTAATAGTGACCCTCTCACAAAACAATATATAGTGACCCCCCTATACCCCACTAATACAAAGTTTTAATAGCGACCCACTCACAAAACAATATATAGTGACCCCCCTATACCCCACTAATACACAGTTTTAATAGCGACCCACTCACAAAACAATATATAGTGACCCCCCTATACCCCACTAATACACAGTTTTAACAGTGACCCTCTCACAAAACAATATATAGTGACCCCCCTATACCCCACTAATACACAGTTTTAACAGTGACCCTCTCACAAAACAATATATAGTGACCCCCTATACCCCACTAATACACAGTTTTAATAGTGACCCACTCACAAAACAATATATAGTGACCCCCCTATACCCCACTAATACACAGTTTTAATAGCGACCCACTCCACTCATCCAACTATATAAAATGATCTGCAACACCCCGCCAATATACAGTGTATAGTGACCTTCCCACTAAACAATATACCATGACTTCCTATACCCCACCAATATACAGTGTATAGTGACCCTCCCACTAAACAATATATAGTGACCCTCTCATCCACTACCTGTGATCTATCCCTATCTATCAGACCTACCTGTCCGCAGGCCAGTCCCATGCCTCTCTCCCCCATACCATGTGGACATGATAGATTCAGCTCCAGTGCATCAGCTCCAGATTCCTGTTGAAAACAAATACATCACATGATTTTACTAAAAAAAATTCATGTTTTTAACATTATGGTATGTATAGGTCTCATTTTGTCCAGTTTGGTTAGACATAAACTGCAAACATCACATTAAATGATTCCTCAAATGTAATCAGTCACTTTCCTTACCTCTGCCATCTTTGCCAATGTCATCCAGTCATCCTTACTGTATGCACACATGATACTGGCTATCAGGATCTGTTCAGGTGCAGAAATTGACAAAATTCACAAAATTAACAAACAATCATACTTTAATACTACAACAACATCTTACATATACTGAAAGTATGGATGAAAATTAGTATTTAAAAACTTCCTTCCATCATAATCACCACCACTAATTTTCGTTTCCTTGAAATCACAGAAATTCTGTAATATTTTTCAACATACTGAACCCCCTGGTTGTCCACAGTTTACCCACCTTATCAGGGAAGTCCCTCTTCAGTTCAGTGACACTCTTACACCAGTAAGCAGCAGTTTTCTCACTAATTAGCTCTATGTTGAGGAATGCACCCTGACCAGGACCAAACAGGTGACCAGAGGTTGTCCCTCGTACAATCCTTGGAGAAACATTTGTCACAATATCCTACAACATATTTATATTCCGTATCAATATGTATGAAGGTGTTTAGAAATTATCTAACAAACTGTTGCTAAATTTTGCGTAAAATGTTGAATACCAACACCAAAATCTTCCTCAACTGAGGAATTTCAGAGTCAAAACTGACAAGTATTAATAAATTCAAACTGGAATCTATAAACCTATGTGTGTATCCTAATAAATCAAAGACCTATGTCATTTATAACATGTTACTATCTGTCAAAAAGAATACCTTGTCCAGAGCAAATGTTTTGGTGAGGGCAAACCCCCAACCCTGTTCAAAGCTCCTGCGAATCATGGCACTGCTGGTTGTAGGTGGCGCGCTAGCTAGACCGAATGGATTGGGGAACTTTAGACCACACACTTCCACTCCCACATCGACACTGTCAATGGCTGTGAAGAACTTTGGCAGACTTGGGACTCCAGGAACAGGTAGACCATGGAGAGACTGTAAATATAATTACAGGTGAACTATTAGAGAAAGAATGGGATAAAAAGTAAGAAGAAAAACCGTAAACCATCTTTCTTTTTTATTCCTTTGACACATTTCACGGCCAGGAAAGTTCAGGAAAGTTCATAAGTGTGAATTAAGACATGGATGATAAAGAACAGTGTAGTATATATAGTCTGTTTCATGACGGTAAGTCCCTATGAACATGTGATATGGAAATTGTAACCAAGAAGGAAAAAAATGATTTACAGTATTCAATGGGTGTTTGAATGACAATGAAACAGGTCCTCGGTCTAAATTCAACATTACAACACACCTGTAGGTATTTGTGGATGTACCAGGAAGCTGTCTTGCCATCGTTGACCGATTCCACTGTGGTCTGGGCCACACCAGCCAAGTCACCCCCACAGAATACCCAGGGTTCACTTGTCGTCATGGTGTCAGAGTTGACCTCTGGTAAACCCCAGTTGTTGAACTTGATAGGCTTCATAGCCTCCACCACTGGTAAGAACACATGAGAATGGTAAGGGAATAAGGTACTTTGTAACATGTGCATGGCTGATGTAAGATCAATCTCAGTTCAGATATTTACAACATTTATCCTCTATATGTTTGCCAATTTTATTGCTGCCTTCCTTATCATGATAAATATCTGCCAAAAAACGGCCGATAACCAATGCTGCTAAAAATTAAATTACCAGTAAATGTGTCATAATATGTGCATATCTCCTCAGAAAATCATCAAAAAGAATATAAAAAAAAAATAAGTGAAAGATTTAACAGTATTATTCTAAAACAGAAAAAAAGGAGCATGACCCTACGCCTTTTTGATTGTTCAGAAGTGAGGTTGTTTAAATTTTTACACATTTGTCCCCTTTTATTTTCAAAGTATATTAGGTTATTTCATATGAACAAATATAAAAGTCTTTCATTTCTATTTGTTACTGGCTGAATAACATTAATCAGCCTTTCGGTCATTTAGAAGAAGTTGTTTTAAGACTTTAATCTTAATATGAGCGGAGAGAGCTTTATCTTTTGTCAACTGCATGCCTGATAAGAAGACACATTGGTATCCTCCGACCTAAATTAATGAGGTATAATATCTGTTCTAACAATCTACTACAAACCCTCAGAATCTGACAATCCAGATCCAAACGCAGAGATGATGTAGTCTGCCTTGATCCTGATAGTCTCCTCTTCATCCTCGACCCAGTTTCCATCATCGTCCTGTTCGGTGCGCACAAACTCCATCCCTGACACACGTCCTCCCTTCTTCATCACCTGACGGGGCGACATGAAGGGCAGGAACTCACATTTCTCTTCCTTAGCTAGCTCCATCTGAAACAGGAATAGTAATACTGACAGGTGTTCCCAAAGTACTACTAGGGCATTCACAGTAAATCTTTTATCCTAGTACAACTGAATTGTTCACCATACATTCTGTAATATCCTACAAGTGACAAAGAATCTGACATGTTCTCTAAGAGTGCAGAGCTGGTGTTAAAACCAGAACATTAGTAGTATTCTACATGTGACAGTAAATCTGAAATGTTCTCTAAGAGTGCAGAGCTGGTGTTAAAACCAGAACATCAGTGATATTCGACATGTGACACAGAATCTGACATGTTCCCTAAGAGTGAAGAGCTGGTGTTAAAACCAGAACATCAGTAATATTCTACATGTGACAAAGAATCTGACATGTTCTCTAAGAGTGAAGAGCTGGTGTTAAAACCAGAACATCAGTAATATCCTACACGTGACAGTAAATCTGACATGTTTATGCCTTCCATTAAAGATATGAACTTCACAGGTCCAAAAACAAACAGGATAAAATAGAGAAACAAAACCAATTCACCCCATACTATTGATTCTGAGCTTTTGGTGGGTCCTGAGGTACCACAAATTCTTGACTTTCAGCGTGGACAACATTTTGACAATTGATTAAGTATAGGAAGAAATGTAATGTTTAAATTAAGATTGTAATATTCCAGAACATTGTAAATTGCTATCCACATGGGGTAAAATAATTTCTAAACCATTAAGATCTCTGCAGACAGTAATATGTTTGGGTTACCTCTTCTGGTACGGCCCTGATGTTTGTAAATCCCTTCCTGAACACCACATACACTTTCTTGGCCCCACAACGTAAGGCTGAAGTGGCACAATCAAATGCAGTATCGCCAGCACCTAAGACAATCACCTTCCCCTTTACAGCTGGCAGCTGACTCTTACAGGCACACATACCTGTTAACAACACACAGCAGTTAAATATCCAAGCAAAGCAAGGTCCAAATATATGTACAGAATTTAAATGTGACCAGAGATGAAGTCCAATCGACAACATAAACAGAAGAAATATCCTTCAAATTCCAGAACAGATTTTGTGAAAAGTTTCAAGTAGTGCTGGAACAAAGCATTTTAATGAATAACAATTTACATAGAAAGGTTTTCTTATTCAAATCACACTTTCTGGAGTACTAAATTTTTTTCTGGGACACTACAGGTAATCACACACCTTTTCAGGTAAGGCTCTCTGGAGGACTATACAGTAATGTCATACCTTTACAGGTAAGGCTCTCTGGAGGACTATACAGTAACATCATACCTTTACAAGTAAGGCTCTCTGGAGGACTATACAGTAACGTCATACCTTTACAGGTAAGGTTCTCTGGAGGACTATACAGTAACGTCATACCTTTACAGGTAAGGTTCTCTGGAGCACTATACAGTAACATCATACCTTTACAGGTAAGGCTCTCTGGAGGACTATACAGTAACGTCATACCTTTACAGGTAAGGCTCTCTGGAGGACTATACAGTAACGTCATACCTTTACAGGTAAGGTTCGCAGGAGGAATATACAGTAACGTCATACCTTTACAGGTAAGGTTCTCTGGAGCACTATACAGTAACGTCATACCTTTACAGGTAAGGTTCTCTGGAGCACTATACACTAATGTCATACCTTTACAGGTAAGGCTCTCTGGCAAACTATACACACTGATGTCTCATCTTTACAGGTAAGGTTTCCTGGAGCACTATACATTAATATCATACCTTAACAGGTAAGGTTCTCTGAAGCTCAATAAACTTATATCACACCTTTACAGGTAAGGCTCTCTGGAGCACAACACAGTAATGTCATACCTTTACAGGTTACTCTCTCTGCAGCACTAAACATACTGATGTCTCACCTTTACAGGTAAGGCTCTCTGGGGCATTATGTTTTTATCACACACACCTTTGCAAGTACGACACAGAAGTTTCCCTGAATTAAATATATTTCATACTTGAGATCTACCTAATATGTACTGGTCCTGTATATTACACACCTGCCTTGCTGGCTCTGGAGACTTTGGGCAGAAAATCCTTAGAGGTGTAAAATCCCATCTCTTCAGTCAAGTCTTGAAAAATTGGAATTCTCTTAGAGTCTGGGAGGCCTGAAACAGGACAAATATATTCAAATCATTTTGGCTCTGTAGTTGGATGGGAGATTTGATTTAATAGATATGTGAATTTAAAATATCTTATTCACTTATCACAAATTTGATGTAGTGTATTTTTTTTCAAAAGAAATAAAAATTAATGAGTTTATAGCGATGTTATACATTTACTTAATTAATTGAAACCTGAATTGTTAAATAGGGTAAAAATTATCACAATAATTTATTTTTCTTGGTACACAATATAACCTTGAAGTGAACCATAAGGATATCTATAGTAATTTGTAATTAACAACTTACCTATCCCGAGGAAGACAGCTTCATAGCCCTGCTCCTTCAGGCCCACCAGGGTAAGATCCCTAGTAGACAGCGCCTTGCCCTGCACAACCTAAAGTATCACATGTATCGACCATTTAAATCTACATCAATTAGGAAGATATCACACGGTTTTATTTCAAACATACGAAGATTCAGATAAAAAGACATTCTCTAAAGCATCATGTACTTATCACACACCTTTACAAATATTACACAAAGGTTTCCCCAACTTTCAATATATATTTTACTTTAGATTTACTTAATATATACTGGTCCCATATATTACACACACCTCCCTGCTGTCCATGATTATTTTGGGCACAAAAACCTTAGAAGTATACATACTGTATTTAAAATCACAAACAGAAACATTCTGTTACTATTCACTCAAAATAAAGAAAATAACTATATATATCACATTTTCAAATGATTTGTGAAGTTTTCTGCTCAGTGGAGTAATCCAACACGACAGGTATTCAGTTTTATTACTCATGATTAAAGGGACTTGTGGGCTAAGTCAATAATTCTAAAACACTGAGCAGATGAGAGAATATGGAACAAAATATACAACATACTGACCTTGACCCCAAGATCCTTCATCAATTCCACTTCAAAATTTACCACACTGTAGGGCAAACGGTACTGAGGAATCTCCGAGGAGCTAAATAAACAAAGTTTCTATAGTTCTTGACTAACAATGAAGAGACTCATGTATCTACACAAAATGATTAATATATATATATATATATATATATATATATAAACAAAAACATCAAGTATTGTTAAATTAATATATAGCACCATGCAATTAAAGAAATGTTTTGAAAATGATCAAAAAGTTCTCAGTAAGAAAGTTGTAGAAGTTTAATTTAGAAATCCTTAATAAAAGAAAAGATATTTTTCAGTTACCTTAGTCCTCCTATATAATCATTCCTCTCAAACACGGTCAGATTTGAATAGCCAAGGCGTGCCAGGAAAGTTGCACAGCTGATACTCGCTGGTCCACAGCCGATCAATGCCACCTTGGCCTGGAAACTCTCAGGCAGGTCATCAGGAGAAGGCAACCCTGGGTCACGGATCTGGGGGATTTTCATGGCTTTGAATACCTAATAACAAAGAAGCATTTCAATATATCGGACATCAGAATGTCAATGCATTATTTCACGTGAGAACTATGTAGAATTACTTGTATAATTAACAATGGTCCCATTTTAGTGTAGTAGACAATATTTCCTATACATGACAAAATTTTTTATAATTTACAAAGCAAAGCATCATCACCAAAACAGGTTCTTACTTCAGTGGCATACTGCTGTAATCCACCAATGTTGATTGGTCCTTCTTCCGAGGCATAAAGGTTGCAGCCACCGACGCAGAGGTCAGAGGTCGGGCAGACCATACCACAGGTCAGGCCAAGGGGGTTGTCAGACAGAATGGCTTTGGCTGCTCCATAATAGTTCTGAAATTTACCATTATACAGAATATAAGTGAAGGTTATATAATTGAGGACCTATACACCAGGTTATATAATTGAGGACCTATACATCCGGTTATGTAATTGAGGACCTATACATCAGGTTATAAAATTGAGGACCTATACACCAGGTTATATAATTGAGGACCTATACTTCAGGTTATATAATTGAGGATTTACCTTGTTTGCTATGCTTGTGATAAAGGTTTTGATGTCCAGTTGTGTTGGACAACTTTTCTGGCAGGGAGCATCTGCACATTTCAAACATCTGTGAAAAACAAGAACTGTGTTACATATCAGCATACATATTGTGAACATAGAGTTCAACAAATCTAAGTTAAGTGAACATCAGCAATAGCTTAACAAATTAGGATAAAGGTTCATCGAATATGATAGAAATTTTTTATAAGACATTAGTGTAAGTTTTTTTTTATGAATTCAATAACATTATACAAACATTGTAAGTAACACATATATATGTTGATACAATTTCACAATTTTCATTTTAGATTTTTGACCATTTGTATCAAGATAATAATCACTGACATAATTAGTATCATTTCTGATTTTTTGTAGTACATTAGCATGAAATCACAGAAATGAGTTCTGTAGTTTTAGTTTTATTTTAGTATTTTTATGTTCATCAAACACAGAAAGTAAATGTTGCATTAGTTACCAACAATATCTTACATAATGGGTAATTATACATGTTTTGATTTCAAATCATATTTACAGTAATGGAAACAATGTTTACAGAAATAAGCTAATGCAATAAAAACAACATAATGCAAAATAATGAAAGCAAAAAATTTTAAAAAAAACTGAATTTTGCAAAGAATAAACTAACATTATATCTAAACAGAGAAAACTGTAAATATACATAAACTTATATTAAATACAACAAACATGTATACACATGATAAATGGCTAGTTAACAAGATTGTACCTGTCTTATGACTGATGATAAACTGTACGTGTCCTGCAGTAAGATATATAATAATACATTATTATCTACGAAATATATATACAGTTATACATTTAAAAAAAATAACCCTTCACTGATGTCATTGATATCAAAATATCCACGTAAAATGTAAATCTAGATGTTTTTGTGGAGTGACCATCACACATCTAACACTCGTGTTGTGCGACACACTTCAACATACAAATTACACCCCTATGTGGTGGGATACATTTCATCATACAAATTACACTCATGTATTGACACAAAAAGTTAACAAAATTAACAAATGTAACAAATTTAAATTTAACCTTGAATTGGTACACTGCACATCATCTACCAATATATATACACCAAGTTTCAATACCCTAGTTTAAATGAAAGCAAAACTATGCTCTGTACACAAAATTTTAATAAAGGGCAATAACTCTGTAATTAAGGAGTAGCAGGCCCTGAATTTGGAACAATGTACATTCCTTTAGTATGGAAAAAGTATCTACCGAGGTATTTTGTCCTAGATAAAAGAAAGCAAAGTTATACTCCTGACATACGACTATAACAAGAGGCACTAACTCTGTTAATTAAGGGTTTACAAACCCTGAATATGGTACAATGTAATTTGTAATTGTATAAATAATGTATACACCAAGTTTAATTATCCCAGGCTAAATGCAAGCAATTTAATGTTGTGCTCTAGTTAAAATTCTCACAAAGGACAATAACTTTGTAATTGAGGGGTTGTGGGCCCTTAATGTATACACCAAGTTTCCTTGCTTTACTGTATAGAAAGCAAAGCTCCAGACACAAAAGGAAAATGAATGGTTGGACGAATGGACGGACAGATGGATGGACAAAGTGGCAATAGGTTGGAAAACACGACAAGCCTTATTTGCTATAACAAATTTTAAAACTTTACAGATACCCATGCTACACATCTATAACTCTACCAAGGCAACATCAAAGTAAACTCTAGGTACACAAACAAAATATATTCATAAAAAGTACAGAAGGATCTTACAGACATGTTAAATTGGCGTAGTACATAAAAAATACCAGGTGATCGTACGATACACCTGTTGATATAAGTCTACCTACAAGAGTTCGAATGAAGCTGATGACCTACCCTCTATCACCATAATCACCCACTACCTACGCATAAAGGTACATTTTGTCCGAGACATATATAATCACATTATTTAGGTCTCTGATTTTGTTTTGGGTGAATTTCTGCAAATTATACACATATTCTCTGGAAATGTCAAATGATCACAAAAATCTAAGAATTACATATATATATATAGATATCCAAGATATAACTTTGATCACAGCATGAATTCTAATGAGGCAAATATGAGTATGGATGATTTAACAAGTTATATATTATGCTGAGAATAACGATCACAAAACTCATTAAGTGTTTCCTCGAAGTTATGACATTGAGACTTTTATATACACAAGTAGTTAAGTAGCTGTGATTGTATTCTTAAAATTTAATTATTGGAATTTTTTCTAATTTCTACAAATAAAATGTAGTTAACCAATTTTTATGACAGGGAAACTTTTGTGAACAGAATCTGGTAGACATGATATTGAATATTTACAAGGTGTTTTATGGGTGACTACCTGGTCATCCAGCACACTGAAGGGATTACATCTTATGAATTATGCATTGGTGTCCCAGCAGATTAAAATACACCACACATCCCTACATGTACACGTTAACAAGTGACATGGATATACACAGCTGAATCATCAAATGTATTACACTTGTCTTGGTGTTAAGTAAACAAGAATATGCTGAGAAGAATTTTATTTCTTAAAACTTAAAAACTTTCTACCGCTGAATTTTTATCATTCTGTTGTAGTCAGGACTGAAGTACCTGAATGAGCTCATGCATAACATTGTTATGTAAATGTGAAAATCTATCCGTACTTAACAATGACTTTTTTCTTGACACCTAGCCACATTGACAGTGGCATCCAAACAGAATGCTGTGGTAAGTTGTCGTAGTTTATAAATATCACACACATTTGTGCTAACAGCCACATCTTTTCTCACAACATTGATCCTAAAACCATTGTTGCTGGATAAAACAGGAAAAATGATACGAACAGACCTACAAATGTAGACAAAATGAAAACCTAAGTTTGAACCAGTTACAGAAATAATGAGAGGAAGGGACAAAGGGATAGCATTGGGTTACACTAGTGTGTATTATGTCATGGTAAGGTGGGAAGGAAGGGAAAGCAGAATATCAGAAGTTAAATAGTGGGACTTGTATGGTCAGGTCAGAGCGTAATTGTGTCAGGCCGAGCTGGAGCCTTTTGTAGTCAATTGAGCTGTAAATGAGCTCAGATACGGGACCTACATGTGACCAGATGGAGGCTGATTATGGAGACTTGTGTAACAAGGGGTTAAGCTAGATGTGACAAAAACATGGTGAACGTTCCATACCTGGATGCTTCTCTCAGGGCTCCTCGTTCACTCAGAGTTGTGTGTTTGATATCAGAAAAATTCTTCTCTTTAGATTCACAAGACTGAAAAAAATGAAGAATTCTATATTTATGGTCAAATTTTCGTCAAAATACATTATATTTCTTTGAATTTTTTAACAAAAGCAGCTACATGTAACATTGTGACTTGAGCTGAGAAAGTACATTTCTAAATCATCCCAGATTTAACATTTCTTTGGTCGACGATAACAATTAATGATGGTGGTGAAACCCTGATCTGCAAATTTCTCATTCGCAAATATGCAATATGACTTTGATTGACATTGACATGTGCACCATGAAAATGATGTCTTGAACAAAAGCTTTACCCAGTGAGGTCAACATCTATGAAAGTTTGCTTGATTTTAAATGCTACTGGTGTCATGTTTCAACAGCAAAGTTATACTCCTATTTCTCAAATTATACACAAAAACAAAACTAAATTGTTTAAATTGATATCAATTAGACAAATTTGACATTTGCAGCAGTACAATAAATACATTTACCTGTCTTCGATGCATGTAACCATTTTAAAACTCAATCCCCGACTGCATCATCTAAATTAAATAGTATAAAACCGCGACAAATTTTACCCTGGATTTAGTAGTTAACAGATAATCATCCTTTTGTAAAACATTCATGAATTTTATATAGAAAATATCCATAAGAACACAGGCATTTAGACATGAGGAGAAACTGTATCTTTATAATATAAATACCGAACATCCTTTCTCCTGGTTTCTTTTCCAGTGTTTTTTGTTCTGTTTGGTAACAGCACTAGGCACCAGGCTAGCACTGTGAAGGACTTTCGGGTTCAGCGCCAAGATACTCTGAAATTTCAACAGATCAATGTTAAGGTTAGATAACTAGAAATATGGCATGCATTTATCTTCCATGAGTGTGCATGAATTCTGCCTCACAAGTGATATATTCATTTATACTGTGTAATTCTAGGATTTTTCTACATATCTATAATTTTCAGTAAGAAAAATATCACTGCATTAATATTTACAAATTACTTTTCAGGAACACATATTTGAGCTATATTCTATCTTTATTTAGAGATCATGCTTAAATTTAAAATTGTTGAATTTTGTTTTTTAAACGGTTTTGAATTTGCAACTATTAACTAAAATCAGATGGACAGGAATGAATCCGGATTAATTGCCGCCAGAAGAAGCAAAAGAGACATCTTGAAAAGGGGTCAATCTTTCCAAAAAGGGAAAGTTAAATGTGTAGCAGAATCGGACTGTCACAGAAGTGAAATGTTTGAATCATTTCTTTCTTAGAATATCTAAGTTAAATGCTTTATAATGAATTACATTACGTGGCCCCCACATTCTCACTCAGCCCTAATTTCTGTACAACCCCCAACTGTCCCCTGTCTTCCTCTACAGAAACCTATCTCAAGTTTAGTTATTTCTTTGCCACTTTGCCACATAAATGCATTTCTTAAAAGCCATACATGGCTCAAGTTCTCCTCAGAACTTTAAACTTGTACTCTAACAATCATATACACACCAACCTTTGCAACTGCAATACATACCATTCAATTATGTGATATACATTGTAAATTATACTTATTTCCACCACATGTTTTACTGTTTGGTAAGTCATACTGGGAAAAATAAGTGTAGTGGGGAGGGAGGGGGGTGAGGGGGGGGGGGGTCAAGGTTTAAATTTCACTGATAGGAAAATGTCATTTTCTTACTGTTTATATATAATGTATCTAATCCCTTATGTATCCTGTAGGATAATCCTATCATAAGCCAACATAGACCAGTCAAATAACATGGAGATACGTTTTTAGATCCGATTCAAGTGTTATCTGATATGACCCAAATTGGGGCCAAACATATGGCATGGCATTAACAACAGTGAAAACAGCCAAGCTATGAGGTTCAATAAGGGACTTGCTGGAATATTATAACAAGTGAAGTCAGGTCCTTAATACGTGTTTCGCCAAAAACATATCGATTTGTAGAGTGTTCCACTTTGATTAAAAAATTTATTTACTTTTTCATAGGCAGATTTCAAAAAAATAATCAAGTTTGACCAATATAATTTCTTGGTCCTGGTTTAGCCACTAGCCTTGCACAGGCAGATGTGGCTACATCAATACAGTCCTTATCTGCTCATGTGTAGTGTAAGTGTACTGTCAACACATGGATTAGCAATTCAATTACTTGTGATAGTTCCCCTGGCTGATGAGTGTGTAGGAAATATGACACAAGTAGAGCATCATCATATCCCATACTGATGACCTATTTCTCTTTTTTGTTATTTTGATGAATGCTATTGCGTGACAATGAAAAAAAATTTATATGACGTTCTGCGTATGTACGTGATCTGGGTTGTATAAAACATGACACAGTTTTAGCCAAAAAGGTATACCTTTATACCCAACAGCAATACGACCTGTCAGCTAAAATAAAAGACAAACTAGACAAATACTGCATAGTGACACAGTAAACATTTCTCATGCCATAATCACTGCTGACTATTGAAATTTTTTGTATTTAATTGCTCGAATTAACAAAAACAAACACGGAGACAAATAAATTGTCATTAGATTTTGCTGGAAAGCACATGACTAAGGTGAGATTCATACATCCTTAAGTCTCCATATCACAGTAATAAGGTTGCATTCATCCTTGGACATTTCCATGTCCGGAGTGAGGACCATACATCCTTAAGTCTCCATATCACAGTAATAAGGTTGCATTCATCCTTGGACATTTCCATGTCCGGAGTGAGGACCATACATCCTTAAGTCTCCATATCACAGTATGGTAGCATACATTTCCCAAAGTAACCACGCAATTAACCTCGATTTATTTTATTCCAGAAATGGAAGTAAAATTATATATATTACGGAAATGCTAAATAATATAGTTATGACCACAAACTTTAATATTTTTGTAAACTTACACGTGTGTCAGTATTTCAACTTATAGATATGAAGGCAATGAAATGCATGTGTACACGAATGTGTGTAAATCTTACCTCAATATCGGGAATATCCCTACTCACATCTACAGCAGCCATTGTTGAGGCATAAACTCTTTAACTGTGTAGCCCGTTGGTCACTATCTGCAGAGACGTATATACCACGTCTCTGCTAACTAACACCAGCAGCAATTGAAGTTTATCAGCGCACTAGGTTTACACATACGTTCTATCTGCGAGGTGCAATGCGGGGGCTTCGATGACGAGACTGAATGTCTTACGCGAATAGCGGTAAACATTATATTTTCTCAAAATATTGCTTATTAAGATCATTTGGACAAAGTAAATAGTATGCGTAATAACCATAATATAATTTCATATTGTTTACTGAGATTTTCTTTTCAATCTATGTTCGTAATAGTCTATTTACAAATGTACTAACTTAATCCTGACTTAATTAAACATTTATTTATAAGATTTCATGTTTTAATGTTTCGTGTCTTTTTTTCTTCATTTTTTTCATGTTATAATTCATGATACTTCTTTTCAAATACAAATATTTAAGGATATGTTTAAACAATATTCACATTTCGATAGCGTCTCTGTTGGGTGCCTCCAGTGAGGACATTTATGAATCATTTTATGACGATTCATTTTTGTTTACATTTTTTATTAAAGATTGTCTAATGTTTTCTGAAAAGGCCTACAATATGACTTTTCAGTAAAGGCCATCTCCTATCTAATGTTTGATGTGTTCTGCTAAAAATCTCCATTTTTGATGGATTGGTTATTCACATTCATTGTTCAATATTTATATACATATATTCTTGCACTTTTTTCTTTAATTTTCACCTAAATTTACAATATTTGTCATTGTTATTATTCTTCAATATTTGGAGGAAATAAAGAAATGATGATGATGATGATGATGATGATGATGATGATGAAGAAGAAACATATTTCATATATCTTGTGAAATGTTTGGAGTGCAGAGAGCAAAAGTGATAGCAATCCCTTGAGTATCGAGGATGATCATTTTCATACACGGAGCATTTTAACTTCCGAAGTAATTGATTTTTTTACTATATGAACAGGTCATTTGGTAAAAGAGACAAATCCTATTTATTACAGACTTTTCTATAAAAAAAAATGAGGGGATGTTTGATATTCCCGTAACAAGAAAGTTTTAATTTATCATTATCTCCCCTTTTTACAAGTTTGTTACTACAGTCTACTTTACACCGACTTTTTCATTGTAACCATGACTATACATGAAAGAGGATAAGGTGCTGAGTGGACTGTGGTAGAGAGTAATGTATTACCCACACTTTTCCACTGTGAGAGTGTGAAGTATGCAGCAATGCCGGGTATCGATAGTACTGCATATACCTACCTCCAAGACAGCACTGCTAGCTGCTCATTGTTCAAGACAGCAAATCTAGCTGCTCATTGTTCCAAGATAGCAATTCTAGCTGCTCATCGTTCCAAGATAGCAATTCTAGTTGCTCATTGTTTTCATTGTTCAAGACAGCAATTCTAGTTGCTCATTGTTCAAGACATCACTTCTAGCTGCTCATTGTTCAAGACAGCAATTCCGGCTGATCATTGTTCCAGACAGTAAATCTAGCTGCTGATTGTTCCATACAGCAATTCCGGCTGCTCATTGTTCCAGACAGTAAATCTAGCTGCTGATTGTTCCATACAGCAATTCCGGCTGCTCATTGTTCCAGACAGCAATTCTAGCTGCTCATTGTTCCAGACAGCAAATCTAGCTGCTCATTGTTCCAGACAGCAATTCCGGCTGCTCATTGTTCCAGACAGCAAATCTAGCTGCTCATTGTTCAATACAGCAATTCCGGCTGCTCATTGTTCCATACAGCAATTCTAGCTGTTCATTGTTCAAGACAGCAATTCTAGCTGCTCATTGTTCCAGACAGCAAATCTAGCTGCTCATTGTTCCAGACAGCAATTCCGGCTGCTCATTGTTCCAGACAGCAATTCTAGCTGTTCATTGTTCAAGACAGCAAATCTAGCTGCTCATTGTTCAAGACAGCAATTCTAGCTGCTCATTGTTCCAGACAGCAATTCCGGCTGCTCATTGTTCAAGACAGCAATTCTAGATGCTCATTGTTCAAGACAGCAATTCTAGCTGCTCATTGTTCCAGACAGCAATTCCGGCTGCTCATTGTTCCAGACAGCAAATCTAGCTGCTCATTGTTCCAGACAGCAAATCTAGCTGCTCATTGTTCCAGACAGCAATTCCGGCTGCTCATTGTTCCAGACAGCAATTCTAGCTGTTCATTGTTCAAGACAGCAAATCTAGCTGCTCATTGTTCAAGACAGCAATTCTAGCTGCTCATTGTTCAAGACAGACAACACTAGCAGTGTATTGAAAGCTAGTGTATGTTTTATGCCATTCTTTTGGTTATTGTTTTACCAGATAGACGGACAACAAAACATTCATCTGGTTTGATTAAATAGATAGAATGCTGCTCTGGTATATTGCAATATTTGAATGTATATCACAAGATTTAGAATACAGTGAAAATCACCAGCATATATCACAAAATTTACAACAATTTTCAGGGTGTAAATAAGATTACGAATATAAAACGCAAGATTTACAATATTATTCACAAGATTTTGCAAAACACAAGATTATGAACAAAGATTATGAAATGTTAAAATATTGTATAGTTTGAAATGCCCTATACGGCTCCTAAATCCAGACCAATGCAGCAATTCCGGCTGCTAAAGTGGTAACCCGTGATTTGATCGCATAATAATAGAAAAAATAATTTAGATATTCAATGTACGCGTATTTCCATGATGGCAATTGTTTATAAATGTATATCCAGACAGCAAATCTAGCTGCTCATTGTTCCAAGACAGACAACACTATTTTTGCGTCAGTGTATAAGGTGAAAGTCTAGTGTATGTTTTATGCCATTCTTTTGGTTATTGTTTTACCAGATACGACGGACAACAAAACATTTCATCTGGTTTGATTAAATAGATAGAATGCTGCTTCTGGTATATGAGATAAAGCGCAATATTTGAATGTATATCACAAGATTTAGAATACAGTGAAAATCACACCTCAATCTCTGCCCATAATCGTCTCCGTGAATATTATCTCGTTTAAAACCAGAATAAAATTATTTCAAACTTTCTTTATGTTTCCAATTATTTTGTCAGTCAGTCACGCTAAAATTAGCCGACGATACTTAGCCAATTGGGAAGGTGGTCGTTCACGTCGGTAATAGGCTCGAGCTCCCCAGTCTATTCATGGATGAGATACACTGAAAATATACCCTATTTACAGAAATCCGTCAACCATAAATACATCAGCGTACCTGGCAGGTGCCTAGGGCAGTACATGTAGACACAGGAAGGGTAGGAAGTTTTCCGGTTTATACTAAAGTCGGAATTAATATCGTTGCATCTTTGGCAGCAGGACAGGTGAGTTAAATAAATACTGATCTTTCGGTTAGCGTTACCGTCGGGCGATTTGTGCTATTGTTTGCTTGCTAAATACGTAAATACAGATAGGGTTTGACTGGTTGGTTGTGTAAGATGACTTATGTCGGGTTGTGGTAAAGATTTTTATAAAAAGTCTGTTGCATGTAAATTTAAGTGTTGGCAATTGTTGTATCAACCACATACATCTCTAGCTGTACAACGTACATACATTTAATTTGAAATATACATGTCCAACTGTATACACAGGATATGAGTAATGTATAATATCTAAAAATTAAAACATAAACATATTGGGGCAAACGACACAGAAATATAGCGATGTTTTTAATGGTAGACTGGTTAACAAAGTTCACTACCGAGTCTTACGAATACTGTACAATATCATTATGACGTTGGTTCATGTCACAAAATGTGCGTTAATCGCCATGGTTACTTTACATACGAAAACTACCTGAGTTACAGAGGAGATCGGATAACACTTTATAATTGATAGGAACAGTCAATGGCGACCAGCCAGTCAGTTCACAATGGCAACACTTAAGATAGGATTTACAGATATGTCTAAAAAAAAGAAGATAGAAAGGAGAGAGTCTTTGTGGCGACACCATGTTTGTACAATTAAGTAATTGATCGGAGCATAACGGGCAACCTATCATCCCATTTGAGATACCGACATATATATACGAACACAATATACACATACAAATTGTTGCCAACTTCTTGCAATAAGTGTTTCTTAACATCCTTGAAAATATATTGCTAAATGAAGGGGGAAATTGAGGTTAAACAGTGTTTTATATGCAACCATTAGCTATCTTTAAAGATAATCTCGCTAATATATTTTTTTTCGTCTTGAGTGATAACTTTAGTATGTGTACCGTGTTCATCTAGGCCAGTATTCCCGTTCTATATCCTCACATTTAAGTGTATCATGTTCTTGGCGAAGTAAATAAACAACCTTTGTAATTCACTTGGTCCAGAGGTTTTACTGCAAGTGTTTCTACCTGTGAGTGAAAATGTGGAACTTACCGACCACAACAATTTTAGAAGCCGGAAGCTGTTACTATTTACTTTCTATATCCAAAGACTTGTAGCATCGATGATGATGATGACGAAGAAAAATATGATGGTGGTGGTGGTGATGAAGGAATTTAAATGAGTATCAAATAATTACAAAGAATTATCATAATGGTTGCCCAAAATAATCTTATTAAAATGCAGATCCTAATTCTCGCTCCGTCTTAGGATCTAATAACATCCTGTAAATGGTCCTGTTCTGGTGACCTTTGTGCACTCTAACTTCATACAAAGCGGACGGTCTAATAGAAGATTTCATCTGCAGCCAGTCTTTTCGTCACATGTGGATACATCTTATCATTATGCATTTTAATCATATTGACATATAAATATGCTGTACAGGTATTGTAGAAAGGTTGTGACGAAAGGACTTGATGCACAAATGGATTAAGGAATCTATCTGGTTCACCTTCATTCACCTCCAAGACTCGGTAAGCGTTCGTTTGATTGGCTAATGCGGAAAATTTACCAGAACATTGCCACGCCCTTATGCTGTGAATAACCGAGCGAGAATTAAGATCTGCATTTTCATCAGAATGTGTTCAAACATGTCCGACATCGTCAAAGACTTAAACTCTGATTTGATGGTATTAAGAGTTGTAG